CTATTCCAGATGATACTAAATGTTACATAATACTTCCTTGAGATAAATGTATAGTATATATGAGGTGCCTAAAAGAGAGCTCAGGTTCTCAACTGGCTCAGCCATGTTAATATTGTTATTATTATCCACTCTGTGTATCTGTGTTTTTCTGGCTAAATAAAATGTTTCAATTCAATTCAATACTAGATCCCAGTTCTTGTGGGACCCAGTTCTACCAGACCCCAGTTTTACCTCTTTTAAAATATATCTTCACGTCGTAGCTAAACTCTTTGAGTCCAAAAGGGTTAAATCAGTCATCAAAGGGTTAAATCAGTCAGCAAAGGGTTAAATCAGTCAGCAAAGGGTTAAATCAGTCAGCAAAGGGTTAAATCAGTCATCAAAGGGTTAAATGGTAGAAAGGGATGTTGGGGGAGAGGAAGGGGTGTTGGAGGGTAGGAAGGGGTGCTGGAGGGAAGGAAGGGTGTTGGAGGAGAGGAAGGGGTGCTGGAGGGAAGGAAGGGTGTTGGAGGAGAGGAAGGGGTGCTGGAGGGGTGTTGGAGGAGAGGAAAGAGGGAGCATTGGAGGGTGTTGGAGAGAGGAAGGGGGTGTTGGAGGAGTGTTGGAGAGAGAGGAAGGGGTGTTGGAGAGAGGAAGAGTGTTGGAGGGTGTTGGAGAAGGAAAGGGGTGGAGGGTGTTGGAGGAGAGAAGGGGGTGTTGGAGGGTGTTGGAGGAGCGGAAGAGTGTTGGAAGGTGTTGGAGAAGAAAGGAAGGGAGGTGTTGGAGGTGAGGAAGAGTGTTGGAGAAGTGTTGCTGGAGGAGAGGAAGGGGTGTTGGAGAGAGAAGGGGGTGTTGGAGGGAGTGTTGGAGGAAGGGTGTTGGAGGGTGTTGGAGAGAGGAAGGGGTGTTGGAGGGGTGGTAGGAAGAGGAAGGAGTGTTGGAGGAGAAAGTGTGGAGGAGAGGAAGGGGGTGTTGGAGGGTGTTGGAGAGAGAAGAAGTGTTGGAAGGGTGTTGGAGAGAGGAAAAGGGTGTTGGAGGGTGTTGGAGAGAGAGAAGAAGGGGGTGTTGGAGGGTGTTGGAGGAGAGGAAAGGAGTGTTGGAGAATTGTTGGGGAGGGGGAAGAAGGGGTGTTGGATGAGAGGAAGAGGTGTTGCTTGGATGAGAGGAAAGAAGAAGTGTTGGAGGTGTTGGAGGAGAGGAAGGGGGTGTTGGAGGAGTGTTGAAAAAGCATATCATTAAGACTTAAAGAAAGAGAGAGAGGGAAAGAAACAGACAAACAACCAGACAGACAGACAAGCGAATACAATAACAAGTAAATTATATTATTCTCTCAACTTACGACAAATGACATAAATAATCGTAAGTGTATTTCAGAAGCATGACCTTAATTGTCTCGGGCACTCGACCATTTCTCCTGACTTAAGAAAATCACAGAGTGTTGATACAGTCTCAGTGTCTTGTCATCTCCATTTTAGTTGTCAATTGAGGGTCGTGGTGTAAGAGAGAAATAAATCATGATGTGTCCAGAATAAAAAAAAATGAACGTAGGAACCTTTAAGAATCTACCTCTTTACTGTAGTACCCTATAAGGTCAATTAATTACCTTACCTGTCTGCTTTACCTGTCTGCTTTACCTGTCTGCTTTACCTGTCACACAAGATGGCATCAAAACCCCACTTTGACTCTTCCACGACACAATTAAGTGAAAAAAGTAACAATATCTTAAGAACTACAGAGAATACGGTTCATTGGTGTCCTTGCAACATTCACGATCTAATGAAGTCAACTTGTGCAACATTGCAATACATTTTTGCCAAGATGGAAATTTTCAGGACAAGAGGGTGGTATATCACACACTACTCTCTGCCTTATGTCGGGGTGGTGTAAGGTTGAGTGTGTGTGTGTGTGTGTGTGTGTGTGTGTGTGTGTGTGTGTGTGCCAATAATCTTTCGTAACATAAGATAAAAAACTAACTAAACTTGACTGATATTCTCCTTAATGCCTCGTGTCATGTATGCCTGACCTAAACTTTGCCCCCATGACCTATAAAATGAGACGCAGGGGCTGACGCAATAAGGTATGGGCTGACGCAATGAGAGGCAGAAAAAGACGCAATGAGGTAGGGACTGATGCACTGAGAAACAAGGGATGACGCAATGAGAAACATGATCTGACGCAAGGCTTTCCCAACACAAGTGAAAAAAGATCTTGTAACGTCGTATATATATTCAAGAAATAAGAGTTTGTCGACTGGGTAAAATACGAGAGTTTGTGTATAATGTAAAATCCTGTGTGTATGAATCTACCTCACTAGACAAAATGTTAAGTATATTATTCCTACATGTTTTGTGTGTATACTTGGTGGTGTTTACGTTGTGGTATTATGTCATTAATGTTTAGGTCTGTCTGGGTGTCTGTCTCTCCTACTGAGCCACGAACCCGAAGATTCAGATTCGTGAACCCGAAGCAGTAAACAATGATTCATTATTCTACCCATTAAATGCTTCGGATTCACTTCACAGTTACCAAGCCAGTTAGATACGTCCCCACATTACCAGTTAGAAGGCCAGTTTAACTTACAAGCCTTTGACTGGTAGGGTAAGAGTGGCACTGAGTTACTACCTTACAACAACGGTGCCAATCTACCGCACGAGTCCTGAAAATGAGTGCCATCTATAGTGCCAATTGGGTGCCGTCACCTCTAGTTTACTGCTGCTGACCCTGAGGTGTGAGGAGGAGGGAGAGGGGTGAGGGGTGAGGGGGGTGTTGTGAGAGGTGAGAGGGAATGAGAGGTGAGAGGAGTGAGAGTTGTGACAGGTGAGAGGGATAAATTTAGTTCACTAGTCATGACTTTATTGAATTTGTCGCCACACTAATGACTGAACCTCCGAACCCCTGAACCCAGAACTCTCAACCTCGAACCCCTGAATCCTTATACCTTGAACTCAAACACTACACTGAACCCCGAACCCTAAACCCTGAATCCTATGCCTTTCAAGCCCAGAACCCCGAACCCATTGTAAAGATAACGAAGTCATATTTCTAAGTAATGAAACTTTATTTTTTTATAACTTTTTAATGACTTGAGAGAGAGAGAGAGAGAGAGAGAGAGAGAGAGAGAGAGAGAGAGAGAGAGAGAGAGAGAGAGACTATTTACGCCTGGGGATACGATAAAAGAAAACGGACTCGCACCGTCTTAAGTTTGATGGGGTAACCACGATAAATCCACCGTCTTTTATATTCTCATAGTTCTTATCACCCTAACACTTTAATTCAACCCTGCTAACGACTAAGAGGCGTATTTTTACCGGTTATTACATTTAAATGATCGTTTTAACAGAAATAAACCATAAAATAAACCCTAAAATATATTGGAAAGAATCGGAAAATGGTGTTAATGCCACCGTGGTTTTTTAGTGGGTTTATGTCCAACGGGATTTTGTCATGAAGTATATTGTGATTTTATTTGTCCAGTGATACTTTTGTCCAGCTAGTGAGGGTTGTAATGGACAGAATAATTCCGTCCTTAGAGTCAGCTGATGATGATGATAATACGACTGGACGCCGCCATCTTGCCTCACCCCCTTAGATCCCCCCCAACACAAGCCACTTTCACCCTTACAGCCTCATGCTTTAAGGGTCAGTCTTGGTCACCTCCTCCACAAAAACAAAAAAACAAAAGTGCGTCTAGTTGTAAGTTAGGGGAGCCACTTACGATGTCTTGTTGTGTTAATGGCGGGCTTTTGTGTTCTGGGTATTCACTCTCACATACCATACCACCCCCACCCCCAGCCCCCCCTCTCTCTCTCTCTCTCTCTCTCTCCTTTATGTAAACGTAGAAATACACACCCTTAAAATACACAACTGAGCAGTGCCGGACTTAGGATTGAACAGAGTGTGGTGCCGAACTTTGAATATAGTAAAGACATTATAAAAGGCAAGATTACTGTTATAACGTCACTGGTTAGTTAGTTGACAGCCTTGGGTGTTGGGGAGGGGGGGGGTGTTGGGAGGGTTGGGGGAGGGGTTGTTGGGGGGGTGTTGGGGAGGTTGGTGTTGGTGGTTACGTAACAATTTTTCCAGCCACTAGAAACGCTTCAAATATATGACGTCTGACCCAATAGCCAATCACAACACTAAAAAAAAAAACTACTACTACTACTACTACTAATAATAATAATAATAATAATAATAATAATAAAGACTTGATTCCCGCCCAAAACGACCCAACATTATCCATAAATCAGAATTTCATTAACTAACAACAACAACGCAAACTTTACCGAATAAACGTTCTAATACACCCGGGAACCAAAATACTAATGAATAAAAGATAACGAATGCATTAAAAGATTGTAAATGTTGGAAAATTACGAGAAAAAATACCAATCGTACTTACCAAAATATCCTTTATGTAACCCGTTCTTAAATGGAGGTTTCAGACATGTTTTGTAACCGGAGTAATCATCACCTGGGTCATCTGGGTCATTTGGGGTCATCTGAGGTCACCTTGGGTCATCTGGGTTCATCTGAGGTCATCTGGGGTCATCTGAGGTCATCTGTGGTTATTTTCAGGATTCTGACGGATGGATAGATAGATAGATAGATAGATAGAAGAAACAGCTGTAAAATAAATGTTTTCTCAACTATAAAACAGTGACACACAGATACACACACACACACACACACACACACACACACACACACACACAGATACACACACACAGATACACACACTGACAAAATATAAAAGTGTCATGATTTCTTTGTTGTCTATAGAAAAATGATATTACAAACATTGAAAATAATTAATTAATATTGTATGTTTATTAAAATTAACTTCATAATATTGAGTGACCTTGTATGCATGGATGTATGTATGTATGTATGTATGTATAGATGGATGGATGGATGGATGTATGTATGTATAGATGGATGGATGGATGGATGGATGTATGTATGTGTGTATGTATGTATGGTCTCATCAGCCACACAAACACTCATACATTCTACCACTCCTACAGCACTGGGATACATGGCGGAGCAAAATCTACGGCACAAACTACTGGAGAATTATGATAAGACCTCCCTACCTGCCATGAAGACAACGGTCAAGTTCAGGATGACTATCAAACACTTCGATATGGTGAGTGGTGATGGTGAGGGTGAGTGGTGAAGGTGATGGTGAGAGTATGTGGTGATGGTGAGGGTATGTGGTGATGGTGAGGGTAGGTGGTGATGGTGAGGGTAGGTGGTGATGGTGAGGGTATGTGGTGATGGTGAGGGTGAGTGGTGAAGGTGATAGTGAGGGTATGTGGTGATGGTGAGGGTATGTGGTGATGGTGAGGGTAGGTGGTGATGGTGAGGGTAGGTGAGGGTATGTGGTGATGGTGAGGGTAGGTGGTGATGGTGAGGGTATGTGGGTGATGGTGGTGGGTGGTGATGGTGGGGTGGGTGTGTGAGGGAGTGGGTGGCGTGGTGGGGGTGCGTGGTGGGTGAGGGGTAAGTGAGGTGTTGAGGTGTGTGGTGGGTGAGGTGGTGGTGGTGGGTGGGGTGGGGATGAGTGGGTGAGGGGTGGGGTGGTGGGTGGGGGTGTGTGGTGGGGTTGGGTGGTGGTGGGGGATGGGTGGGTGGGGTGGGTTGGTGGGTTGGGTGGGTGGGGGTGTGTGGGTGGGGGTTGGTGGGTGGGTGGTGGGGGTGGGTGGTGGGTGGGGTGGGTGTGGGTGGGTGGGGTTGGTGGTGGGGTTGGTGGGTGGGGCTGGTGGGGATGGTGGTGGGTGTGGTGGTGGTGGGCGGTGAGGTGGTGGTGGGTGAGGTGGAGTGGGTGATGGTGAGGGTGGGTGGTGGTGGGTGAGGTGGTGATGGTGAGGGTGGGTGTGGTGATGGTGAGGGTGGAGGTGGTGATGGTGGGGTGGTGGTGGGGAGGTGATGGTGAGGGTGTGTGGTGGTGGCGGGGTGTGTGGTGATGGTGAGGTGGGTGGTGATGGTGGGGGGTGAGGTGGTGGGAAGACAGTGGTGGGGTGTGTGTGGTGATGGTGGGTGTGGGTGGTGAGGGTAGGTGGTGATGGTGAGGGTAGGTGGTGATGGTGAGGGTAGGTGGTGATGGTGAGGGTGAAGGTGATAGTGAGAGTATGTGGTGATGATGTTACTACAGCTAATACTAATACTGTTACTAATGATGATATTGACTACTACTACTACTACTACTACTACTACTAATAATAATAATAATAATAATAATAATAACAATAACAATATAATACTCTAGTTCAGAAATATTTACTTACAATATACATAGTGTGTGTAACTGATGAATATACAGTATACATAGCACTATACAGTATACACCACACACCTGTCTACCGTTCACTAATACACTGTTTCGTTTTGACAGATCGAGGATGAGCAGGCGCTAAGACTTGACGCCTGGATGGTTAATGTGAGTGAGAGAGAGAGAGAGAGAGGGGGGGACATACAGAAAGAGAGAGATAGAGGGAGAGAGATAGTTATATAAAGAGAGATAGAGAGAGAGATTAGTAAAGAAAGATCAAGAGATAGTGAGAGTCATACAGAGAGTGAGAGAGACAGACAGATTTGTATAATGAGAGATAGAGAGAGAGAGACTGGGGGATAGATAGAGAGAGAGAGATAAATAAAGAGGTAGAGATAGAGAGCGAGAGAGAGAGAGAGAGAGAGAGAGAGAGAGAGATAAATAAAGAGGTAGAGAGAGAGAGAGAGATATAAATGGAGGTAGAGATAGAGATAGAGATACAGATAAATACAGAAAGAGACAGAGAGAGACATCATAACCCAGTTCGTCTCTCCAGGAGTGGGTGGACCATCGTCTACAGTGGGACCCGGAGTTATACGAGGGCCTGGAGAAGCTCTCGTTCCCTCACCAGATCCTGTGGAAGCCTGACCTGGACATCTACAACAGGTGAGTCGCTTACACCTGTCTTAACACTTCTGGTGCACCTGTTGCTGTACACCTGTTAGACATCTGTTGTTAATCTGTCATATGCTTCTGGTGAACAAAAGACCTAACCTAACTTAACCTAACCTAACCTAACCTAACCTAACCTCATTTCTCTCCCTCTAGTGCCAGGATAGGAGAGTCTCTATCCTTCGGGGACACTCTGCTCATAGTGTTCAGCAATGGCCGGGTGTTATTCGTCCCACCAGTACAGCTTCACTTCACCTGCGCCATGGACCTGACCTACTGGCCTCACGACACACACAACTGTACCCTCACTATTGGTTCCTGGGTCCACGATGGTCACACTATTGATCCACAGATTATGGACGAAAAGCCTGAGGTGAGTGGGAGGAGTGGGCGAAAGTGAGTGGGAGGAGTGGGCGAAAGTGAGTGGGGGTGGAGTAGGTTGGCTTAGGTGGGATGGGTAGGTTTGGGTTAGGTTGGTGGAGTGGGTTGAATGGGTGGAATGGCTTGAGGTCTAAACATCACCATTTCTATCTATGCAATGATTGAAACACTAAACGAAACACTCTGATATATTCCCCAGTACATCGTTCAATATTGATATACCTACTTAACAACACTTAATAAACTTTCATAAACTACCATCAGTAATAAATCATAAGCAATCATAAATTACTTGTTGACTTGAAATCCTGGTGGCAGTTGTTTACATGAAATTGGTACCAAGTAATTTGCCCCACAGAGACGATAAAGGTGTTTACTATGACCTGTAGTCCATTGTGTCGAGGATTTTGAAGCTACTTGTTAAGAGTTGGGGATTTAGAATATAGTTAAAAGTCTACCCAGATCCCAACAGGTAACAACAATAAAAAAACAAAGACAATCGGACTATAAAAGGGTAGACAAAGGATGCGAGTTTTCGTTGTGTATAATAAAGTACCATAAATTCCTTAACAAAATATTCAGCTTCCTATAAATTACCCTTAACCATACTTAACCTAAACATTAACAGTATATACATATTAATACAACATAAAACAATCGTGAAGCAAGGTGGAGGTGGAGAGGCAATACAAGATTACAAATACTTAAGTGAGGAGCTGAGATGGCTGACGAGTAAGGCTGAGTATTGAAGACGGTGGTAGTCACTGTGCGGTAGGTTTCCAGGATAGGTGATCCTGTGGTCACTTCCCAGAGTGTAGTGCTCTCGCCTCGAACTCGAGCTGACAAAGAAGTCTTGGAGGAAGTGACGCAACAACCAGGATATGGAGAAGGGAAACCCCGGAGTGGTAACTAAGACGAGTCATACTCGTGTCTCGTCCCTAGATGGCGTTGCTCGTGGTGCTGGGTAGGTAGATCAGGACAATAGATGGCGTGGTTCGTAGTGCTGGGTAGGTAGATCATGACAATTGGTGGAGGGGTTCGTAACATACTGAACTAACACAGGGGTACCGATACTTTTTGGGGGGGAGGACTGTACAAGTATAGACACAATTATAGGTACAGTTCAGATGCAGGTACAGGTTACAGGTACAGGAAAGGTACAGGCCAGATACAGGTACAATTAGAGGTGTGAGAGTTATAGTAAAAAAAAAAAAGTCTATCAGATGTGTTTAAGTTAACGACCTGATTCCTCCCGCAGTTTCACGTCCCATCCTTTCCTCCCGCAGTTTGACATCCCATCCCTCCCTCCCTCAGTTTGACCGTCCCATCCCTCCCTCCCGCAGTTTGACATCCCATCCCTCCTTCCCGCAGTTTGACATCCCGGTGGATCTGACGGAAAGCGGGAAGAACTTGACGCGGGGGTCGTGGGACGTGAAGGGGTCTAACATGACGAGAAAGGTGTCCAAATACGACTGCTGTCCGGAGCTGTACATTACACTGATCATCTCTCTCAAGCTGCAGAGGAACGCACCAGCCTATGCATGGACCGTCAGGCTACCCGCTGTTGGTGAGGATCTTCTTCTTCTTCTTCTTCATTCTGTTTTTCTTTACCTGTTGCTAGTCTTAACTAAGATCTCTCTCTCTCTCTCTCTCTCTCTCTCTCTCTCTCTCTCTCTCAGGTAAGATAATTAACATATACTAATTAGCTACTTGTGCTATAGCCATTTCGTTTAAGTTCCTATATTCCTTATTTCCGCGTGTTTAATACTGTCTTTCTGCATCTCTAGTCACTCTATACTATCCTGTTAGAGTTGTATCTATCCTGCCGAAGGTGTAGATGTCCTGACCCACATTCCTGCCGCAGGTATGTGTATCCTGACGGTGGTGTTGTTCCTACTGCCGCCGGGAGCTGGGGAGAAGTTGGTCTTCGGTGGATTGTGTCTCATTCTGGACTTGCTCTTCATCGCCTACACGTCCAACATAGTCTCTCACGCCCCCACTCACACCCCACTCATAAGTAAGTATCTCTCACACACCCCACTCATAGGTAAGCCCCTCTCACACACCCCACTCATAGGTAAGCCCCTCTCACACACCCCACTCATAGGTAAGTCCCTCTCACATACCCCATTCACCACGTCGAGTTGTCTAGCTTGAGTATTCATTCATAAGGCATAACATTAGCGACTGATTTCACCGCCAGTGTGCGTTGGTGTGGGCAGTGAGGCGGCTGACACCACTGGTTTAGGTGAAGATGTTGGCAGCGTAACACCAAGTTTCGTTGGAATGCTGTGGTAAAGGGGTCGTCCTCTGCCAACTTGTGAAGGAATGTGAAAAAGTTGGCGCAGAACCGACTGGACACTGCAGCAAACTTGTACAGAAGATGTGATAATGTTTCTCTTCTTCTATTCTCTAAGTTATTATCAGATATTCATTGTCTATAGTAAAGATTATTATTTATCATATTTCTATTATTTTTTTGTCTCGCGTTAGGTTAGGTTAGATTTTGACCCATTGCCATAAAAGTTTTAGGTACGTAACACCTCTAGCACACCATAATGGACTTTCATATGATACTGTCAACACTCATTTGACTTTTTCGGATGTAAACAAACTATAGTGGTGACCTACTGTATTTAAACCCCTTATAGTTTCACCCTTGTAGTTGAGTGAATGAGTTAAGTGGGTTTTTCCTAGTTGAGTGAGTGAGTTGAGTGTGTTTTAACCCCTGTCGTAGTTGAGTGAGTGTTCTTCATAGTTGAGTGAGTGAGTTGAGTGTGTTAAAGTGTGTTTCTAATCGGTTAATCTCTCCATAGTTGAACTGGTGTGTGAACAACTGCTGCTGGTGATCGGGAGTGTGGTGCTGGCAGCGTTCACAACCAGGATGGCCAGAGACCCCCACACCTGCGGTCTACCTGTGTGTGTCAGACAGGTCCTCCTCATGCTGTCCGTCTGTCTCTGTCTCCAAAACTACAAGAATCTCGTAGGTCTCACTGTCTGGGAGGTGAGGGTGTCTCTCTCTCTCTCTCTCTCTCTCTCTCTCTCTCTCTCTCTCTCTCTCTCTTTTATCTCGCTTGAATAATAATAATAATAATAATAATAATAATAATAATAATAATACAGTATGATGATGATGATGATGATGATGATGATGATGATGATGATGATGATGATGAAGCTCAGAAGCAAACACACAAAAAACAAGAACAAACAAACAAAATCATTCAAACAACAACAAACAACAACAATTGGTACAGGTGCCACTCATCACCTGCACACAGATGGCCCAGAGGAAGGATGTGGCACTCTCAGGCACCTAAATTATGGCACTGAAACACCTGCCTCTGTCTCTCTCTAAAATACCTGTACTGCATCTCTCTCTCTCTCTCTCTCTCTCTCTCTCTCTCTCTCTCTCTCTCTCTCTCTCTCTCTCTCTCTCTCTCTCTCTCCCTCGCTCTACAGACTACATACATCAGCCTACGAACTGCCTCTTCATCTAACTTCTAAGCACCTAACGCCTCTGTTTTGTATACTGCAGGTGGCCAGATCTCACCAGCCATACACGCGGACGGTCAAGACGGAGGAGCTGGAGATGGGAGAGAGCAGCGCGGCGCAGTTGTACGGGGGGATGTCTGGTGACTTTACTACGCCGTGTGGGCTAGACTGGCTCCTGTTGGCTGCCGTTATCGATCGCATCTGTCTAATCGTCTTTGTAGCTATCTTTATAATGAATATGATCTCCTTTAGTGCTGTCCTCTGAGCCTCTCCTCCTCTGTCCCTCATGATTCCAATCTTCACGTCACACTCGACCTCTTCCCAATCTGTAATTAATGATTGTTATTGTGGATTAAACATCAGAAGGTGTTGAAGTATACAGAGACATATATTTGACTGAGTGCCTCCTCTAAGAGCAGGACCTCTACTGAACGGCCTCTCACGACACATTGTAAAGATGTTCCACCTCTTTGTTTGTGTCCGACTGAATAGAGACACAAATGCACACTATTTACATGATTATTACAGTATCTGTCTTTCCCTCGGCCTTCATTAAACTAGCAACTATACCTGTAAATTCTCATATATATGTAACAACACACCTGGTGGCTGCTAGCATCAGGTGTGTTGGTGTTGTAACTTAAGTGAATCAGCAAAAGGTGTTCTCCCACTATGGTCGTGGTAATAATTCGAACATTCACACCATGGCTCCAGGTTCTGAATGATTTGAATATTTGTTATCCAATTAACTGACTGACTCACTTAAGCTATGACACCAAGAGGCAAGACAGTCACAGATGCCATTAGTTTGGGGATTATAATGTTGGAACTTTGAGATTCTGCCAGTAGGGGAGAGGACGCCGGGTTAAGTCATCTTCCTGTGTTTGTGTGGTTGTGTTGCCTCTGCCATGGACGCCACCTGCAATATATTATGTAAAGTAAGATGTATGTATTGTGTTTATGACGAGGCAGAGTCCGTGTTGATGATTCTGTCGAATATTGAGGTGTTTCGACACATTTATGCTCTTAAAGAGACTAAACATATCGCTTAGCTAACTTTCATAACCCCAACACGCCGCCGCTGCTCGATGTAATCCAGTGTTGCTCTCTGACGTTACTATCAGCCAATCAGAGGGTCTGTTTATTTCTGTAATTTTGATTCAGTATCATTGTTCTGTGACGTCACCCTCAGCCAGCCAATCATAGGGGTTTGTGTACTGTGTGGTTTGTGATCTAAAGCTGCTTTTGTTTGACATCATTATCAAGCCAACCAATCACAGTATTTATATAAGTGTCTACAGTTGATAATGTATGTGACCATGTGTTGCTGTTGTGTGACGTCACTGCCAGCCACCCAATCATAAAGAATTTGATCATTTTGCTTCACCCAATCACGAAGTTTGTTGACATTGTTTCAGCCAATCTTGAAGTTTGTTTATATTGTCCCAGAAAATCACAGTTCAGAGTGGGACAATTTAACTAAACTCAACTGATGTACACTAGCAACAAAAAGTATCGGTGCATACTGTAGTGTGAACAATTTGAGACCAGTGACGATAGGTATTGGGAAAGGCGAGTTGTTCCAGCCGTATGTTGGCAGCCCTGATTGTCAGCCATATGGCAACACCTAGTGGAGGGGGGGGGGGTTATGAGGATACACTTACCAACCTACCCGACATATCACAGTGTATACGTATCGTGTCGGAACTCGTCGATCTCACTCTGCACCGATACTTTTTGGTGCGAGTGTACAGGCTGGAACAACCATGTGAACAAGTACAATTACAGACACAATAGAATCATCACTCACTGTAAAATTGTACCAATAAAACAGTAATACTGGGTGGAACAATTGTATTAGGTGGAACAATTAGGTGGAACAATTGTATTAGAACAAATTTGCTGTTAGAGAAATACGTCCTCACTTAAAACTATTGTACTGGAACGAAAGTGCTAGTTGGACTATTGTACTGGAATAGATATTTTGGCTGGAACAAATATATTGGTTGGAACAATTTATATTGGAATAAAAGCATCGGCTGAGATAATTGCTGGAACAAAGGTGCTGACTGGAACACTTATAAAGGAACAAATTTAGACCTTGGTATAAACTTAAGTTGAAACAATTATACTGGAACAAATATAAACTGGAACAATGACAATGGTATAATGCACTAACATTATAACTGACTTGTAAACTTTGTACTGGGACAAATGTACTGGCTGGAACCTTACGTGCATGAACAATATGTGTACAAGCTGGAACTCTTCTATTGACTAACAGGTGTACACTGACCACCTGTGCTAAATGAACACAGGTGTACATAACTGGATGTTCTTTGTATTAATAAATGTGAACTTGGTTTATGGTTGATTATTATTATCCTTTATCACACACACACACACACACACACACACACACACACACACACACACACACACACACACACACACACACACAACAGTTAGGAGTTGCCTGACAAAAGGTTGTGCTGCACATTAATCAGACTCAATGATGCTACAACAACACAATAGAGGTTATAACAACAGTAGAGGTTATAACAACAATAGAAGTTATAACAACACAGAGGGATGGTTGGCTAGCTACAGTGCTCACAACAACAGCGGTTATAATAAGCCAAGACGGTCCAGGACGGCAACACGTAGCTCTGGCCTTCACGATATATTATGATGTTGTTATAACACTGTGAGGGTTATTATAATACTCTTTTGGTTGTTACAACACTTCGGGCTGTATTAATGTTGTTTTAGTTGTTAAAACACTATGGTAGTTTTAACACAATGTTATAACAACCTCTTCAGTGTTTTAACAACCTCTACAGTGTTATAACAACCTTAACAGTGTTATAACAACCTCTACAGTGTTATAACAACCTCTACAGTGTTATAACAATCTCTGCAGTGCTATAACAACCTCTACAGTGTTATAACAACCTAAACAGTGTTATAACAACCTCTACAGTGTTATAACAACCTACAGTGTTATAACAACCTCTACAGTGTTATAACAATCTCTGCAGTGCTATAACAACCTCTACAGTGTTATAACAACCTAAACAGTGTTATAACAACCTCTACAGTGTTATAACAACCTTAACAGTGTTATAACAACCTCCATAAATTCAAAACCTTTTCCTGGTTCTTGGATATTGATGTGAGGATAAAGTCAGAGAAAGAGAGAGAGTGAGAGAGAGAGAGAGAGGGGGGGGGTGAGAGAGAGACTCACCATCGCCCACACTCCACAGTGCCACAGTCAACAGTCAACGCGGCAACGCCAAACCAAGAGGACGTGCCCCATCTGTCTGTCTGGTGGGTGTTGTATTGTGCTGTGCTGTGTTAACATAACAACATAAGAATGGAGGAAACTGCAGCGGGCCTATTGGCCCATACCAGGCAGCACCGTTTACACCCAACCCCTATCGCTCATATATCCATTCAACCTATTGTTTGAAGCTATCCAGCGTGTTCGAGTTAATGATGAAGTTCGGTAACTTGTTCCACTCATCCACTACTCTATTTCTAAATCAATGTTTACCTATCTCGCGCCTAAAACTAAATTTGTCCAATTTAAAACCATTGCTACGAGTTCGCTCCTGGTTGGATAGTTTTAGTACCTTTGTTATATCACCTTTGTTTGGCCCTGACTTCCATTTATACACCTCTATCATATCACCCTTCACTCTACGTCTTTCGAGGGAGTGCAGATTAAGATGCTTTAACCTGTCTCTGTACTCAAGGTTCCTAAGTCTAGGGATTAATCTTGTCATTCTCCTCTGAATTCTTTCTAGGGATTCTATATCCATTCTGTAGTACGGTGACCAGAACTGAACTGTGTAATCCATGTGAGGTCTCACAAGTGCAAGATGTAGTTGTGTTGTGTTGTGTTGTGTTGTATAATATTATTTATATCATTAAATAATATTAAAGTATGTTGTTACAGGAGCGTGGCGGTACTAGGAGGCTGCAACACGCCGTCACAACAAGGAGTGTCAAGATGGTGTCGAAATGTGTAGTGGCGATGGTGGCGGTGATGGTGACGTTGGCGGTGCAAGGTGAGAGAGAGAGAGAGAGAGAGAGAGAGAGAGAGAGAGAGAGAGAGAGAGGTATTTTTATCATCATAAACGCCTTAACAACAAAATTATTTCTGAAATTAAGAAATAACTCCTCCCCCCTACGTCCTGCCCCCCAGCTGAGGAGGTTTACTTTCTTCCTTGTTTACTTACTCACTCACTCACTCACTCACTCACTCACTCACTCACTCACTCACTCACTCACTCACTCACTCACTCACTCACTAACTCATTCAATTACTCACTCACTCACTCACTCACTCACTCACTCACTCACTCATTCAATTACTTGTGCACATCACGCTTCGAACGCCAATTATCACCATCGACTGTGTTTGACAGACAGACAGACAGACAGAGAAGGACACTGTGTTAAGAGACATCTAGATTAGCCTTAAAAACACTTGAGAAAATGTTGGCTCCTGTTCTAAGCAAGCCTTTACCAGCTGTGTGTGTGTGTGTGTGTGTGTGTGTGTGTGTGTGTGTGTGTGTGTGTGTGTGTGTGTGTGTGTGTGTGTGTGTGTGTGTGTGTGTGTGTGTGTGTGTGTGTGTGTGTGTGTGTGTGTGTGTGTGTTTGTGTGTGTGTGTGTGTCTGTATGTGTGTGTAATATACCACACACCTACATCCTCAATCCACTTTAATCTAAAAAAAAATAAAAAAAAATGCCCACAGCACGTACTCTGAGCTTCGTCTGGCGTTCACTTAATACTCCAAACGCCAAGCGAACGATTGCCAGTGTGTGGATTGGTGGGCTTTGAGTAAATCATTGGTGGTGGGGTGTACTGCCTACTTCACTCAGATACACTTCCTTGCTACAGAGGAGGAGGAAGAGTAAGAGGAGGAGGAGGAAGAGTAAGAGGAGGAGGAGGAGGAAGAGTAAGAGGAGGAAGAAGGGAGAGAAAAAGATGAAAATCATTCTCTAGATCATTATGCACACATCTCACATCCGGCCCAGCTGGTTTAACACTCGGCCCCGTCCTGATGTTGGGGATAGAGAGAAACAGACAGAGAGACAGAGAGAAAGACACAGATAGACGGATGGACAACCAGAGAGACAGAGAGTGTGGAGAGGGTGGAGGGAGAGAGAGGGGGAGGGGGAGAGGGGCCCGTAGCCAGGTGGGTCCTCCTTGAACACACTTAAGGAGAGGTTTATTAAACTCTAATGTGGTCTGATTGATGATAACTGGCACACACACACACACACACACACACACACACACACACACACACACACACACACACACACACACACACACACACACACACACACACACACACACACACACACACACACACACACACACACACTTGGGCCACCTGCGCGGGGTCGACAACACAACAACCAGACCTTATGTTAACAAGTTGTATAACCCAGTGTCAAGGAATAATCCAAGTAGACCGGACAATTCGCCAACCGCACTGGCTCACCATCACCCCTGAAACATGATTCATAAATCAATCAACAACCAGGTTCCCTATTACTGCTGGGTAAAGACAAATGGTGTAAAGAAACTCGACACATACATACATACATACATACATACATACATACATACATACATACATACATACATATCACTCCCCCTCCTGTATCAATCACTTCTCCCCTGTTAACCCTTTCATGGCCGCTCCTCCTCCCCCCGCTCCCCCTTCCTCTACCTCCCACCCCCTCCTCCACCCCCACCCCTCTCCTCCTCCTCCTCCCCCCCGCTCCCCTTCCTCACCTCCCCCCCTCCTCCACCCCACCCCTCCTCCTCCTCCTCCTCCTCCCCCCCCACTTCCCCTTCCTCTACCTCCCCCTTCCTCCACCCCTCCTCCTCCTCCCCCCCCCCCCCGCTCCCCTTCCTCTACCTCCCCTCCCTCCCTCCTACTCCCTTCCTCTGCCTCCCACCCCTTCCTCCACCCCACCCCCCTCCTCCTTCTCCTCCTCCTCGATGAACACAGACAGACGCAAGTAATTGATCACTTCCCATCACCACCACTACCACCACTACCACCACCACTACCACCACCACTACCACCACACCACCACCACCACCACTACCACTACCACCACTACTACCACCACACCACCACCACCACCACTATCACCACCACTACCACCACCCACACCACACCACCACCACCACCACCACCACTACCACCACCACTACCACCACCACCACCACTATCACCACTACTACCACCACCACCACTATCACCACCACTGCCACCACCACTACTACCACCACTACCACCACCACTACCACCACTACCATACAAACAGTGACTTAGTTGAACCCTCTTACCAACATCTGCTATGACACACGTATGGCATTATGGCAGCCATGACAACAGGAGTATGACAACGGAGACAGAACAAAGATGACATGACAACAGGAGTATGACAACAGGAGTATGACAACGGGAGTATGACAACGGGAGTATGACAACGGGAGTATGACAACGATGACATGACAATAGGAGTATGACAACAATAACATGACATCGGCGGCATCTCCTCATCTCACCCAACCAATGGCTCCACTTCCCCTCTCCCCTCCCCCCCGGCCTTGACAGCAGGGGGGGGGGAGAGGGGACCATGACAGTTCACCATGACAGTACACTATTACAGGAAGTTGTGTGTTAGGTGTCATAGAGGGGTGAGTGTATGTACCTGCAATCTGTTTGTTCCTGTGTACTACCATAGACTGGTTAATCTCATTGGGATGTGACTGGAATGATGACTGGCTAATCCAAATAATCAATATCCTACATCACACAGACACACACCACCACTGTATCCTGTACTATCACCCCTACTACCCATATCCTGTACTCTGACCACTGTAATAAGTACTATGAGTAACTACTGCATCATGGTATACTATCAGTACAATTACAGCACCTTATAATCTTGGACTATTTTACTATTTTTTGCGATTTTTTCTATTTTTTGTGCTCTGCCGTCATTGGCAAGACAGTCCCCATCTTAAATAATGTTTAATAATAACTACAGTACATTGTCGCCTATATTCCTAAGATAATCTGAAGGATATATGATTATAAACTATATTAAAGGTGAAGTGATGGTTTGATATCATATATGGCGACAGTAATTAATATTTAAAACAAAAATAAACAAAACTCGTATGTCCCGCCATTTGCAGATAGAATTTCGATGTTGGATGACTTGTCATAATTCATTAGATATTTAGTTTTGCTTGTAATTTAATATATCCCTCGTCGTAAACACATATTCATGGTTAAATATATATGATGCATAAATAAAATAGGTGTTAGATATAAGTGTTATAAAAGCATCATGCATATAAATAAGTGTAACTTGAGATAACGAAGTGGGGAGTGTTGTCAAGTGGTCATAATTTTTTTGTTTACACTGAGGCGACACAAAATACTGAAAAACTTGTGTATTATTTTGACTCATTAATTGTTGTGGTTGTTAAGTGTGTGTGTGTGTGTGTGTGTCTATAACCTTAGTATTATTGAAAAGAAATATACAGCAACAATTACAAACACAACAACAACAACAACCATAACAAAAACAACAACAAAAACCACAATTACCAACAACCACACCACCACAACAACAACCACAATTACCAACAACCACACCACCACAACAACAACCACAATTACCAACAACCACACCACCACAACAACAACCACTACAATCACCATTAGGTTAAATAAGCTATCGTATCTAATCTTCAAATGATCCGAAAAAAAAATATTAACGTAGGAACTTTTGATAAACTTGTGTCTCATATTTCACACACATTAACCGGACTACTTTCTGCCTGTTTACTGGGGGATACAGTTTCCTCAGTACGTCACTCATCAGAAACTCACCCCCACATACTCCGTCACTTAAAAACTCGCACCGTCACTCAAAAACTCACCAGCCTCCGACATTAATATAGAGTATCTCAACACGTGTGTATGAGTGTGTGTGGTAGCTGTGGTGGAAGCAGACAAAAGCAAACTTAATTGTGCTAACTCATGGTGTATGGTTCCAATCTCCGTTCTCACAGTTAATTTAACGCCATTAACAGCTCTGGCGCTCGAATGGCAACCTCTATAGTGGGTGGTGGTGGTGGTGTGGTGGTGGGTGATACTGTGGTAGTTTGGTGGTGAGGTGGTAGTAGTCTATAGTGGGTGGTGGTGGTGGTGTGGTGGTGGGTGATACTGTGGTAGTTTGGTGGTGAGGTGGTAGTAGTGGGGTGGTGGTAATGGGGTGGTGGTAGTAGTAGTGGGGTGGTGGTGGGGTGGTGGTAGTGTGGTGGTGGTAGTAGTGGGGCGGTGGTGGGGTGATGGGGTCAGGCTGTTTCCTCTGGTTGTTGTATGGGACAGCACCAGCAGACTTGTCCTCCCTCCTTCTCTCTCTCCTCCCCAGCTTATATCACCTGAATAAGTACCCCCAATGTTCTCCTTACTTAACCACACCTAATCTAACCTAACCTAATTAAACATAGCCTAACCTAATATAAACTAACCTAACCTAACCTAACCTATAAATGAACTTATCATCTCACTCACTAAACAAAAACGTCCCATCAACTTCCGCCCCTGGTGTAGTGACGGTCGAGGTCAACACACAATGAGACCGTGTCAAGCCTCTCACGCACTTCCCTCACCCGTAATTACTATAAAAGGCATGAGGAGACCAAATAGCACCCTGGGGAACTCCTGTGGTTTGTCCTCCTCACTCACAACAACACACACACTCCTCCAGCGTCTTGGTACAAACACTGATGCCACAAACTGTCACCTTACCCTATACTTGTACACCCTCTCCAAAAAATATCTTCAGGAATAAAATGTTAGATAATATGACACAACGAACGAAGGATTTTGACAGCCCTACCGAGACAACAGGAGTCGCAGTGTTCAATGTGAAATTCATCGAACCTCTGCATGAAGATACTTTTTGGGGGCGAGTGTACATAACAATAAAATTTATATTTGTATTGTGTGTTTGGATTACCTAACCTCAAGTCTCCCCCTCTCTCCCCATCCTCCCTCCCCTTCCTTCCCCTCCCGGTCATCCACCCACACACAGCAAAGAGGGACCGGGAGGTTAAATCGTCCATACAGAACCATTGCAAATGACCCTACTTGACGCTCCCTTCTTTTCAGTCGTCGAGGTAATATGAGCCATTCACCACCCCTTACATAACCACCTTGAAACCACTTACTCTATCTACCATACACAACCATCCAAGACCACTTACTCCATCCACCATACACAACTATCTTAAGACCACTACCTACTTCTATTCAAGACCTCTGGAGACTTATTCAAAATCGCAAACACAGTAATTGAAAATACTCTCTCTCTCTCTCTCTCTCTCCTCGCAAGTCCTGGGAGTCGAAAACGGATCTCTGCCGGAAGACGCACTACGTGATGCTCTCCTGAAGAACTACAACAAGAACAGCTTCCCCTCCACCCCCATGAACATTGACGTCACTAAGTTCTCAGTCCTCGGCGTTGTTATGGTAAGTAAAGAGTAGATGTGTTTTGTTCATTAAGTGTCAAGATCTTTTTTATACATTTGTTTTTGTTTTTCTTCCTTTATAATAACACTATGGGGGTGGGGAGAGAAATTAGTTATTATTTTTTTATTTCATTAATCTATCTTATTAATTCATAAATATGCAAGAGGAAATATTTTTTCTTTATATAATTTATTGTTTCTGAAGTCGTCTATTTCTGTGATTATATATTATAACTTATTTCATTTTCTTTAATTTCTTTTGTTATCTTATTTTCTTTTCTTATGTACTTGTTAATTCTTTTCTCAGTTATTTCCAAAGTACAATATTTCTTTCAGTGTATTTATTTATTTATTTGATAATATTTTCTCTGAACTTAATCTCTCTGAATTAGAAACATCCTGCTTTGGACATCTCGCTGGTAGGCAGATACGATGGAGGAGCGTTAAAAAATGACGCTCTCCACCACGCACGCAGATATATACTCGGCTAACTGGCAACTCAGACATGTTGAACGGGCAATTCACGCATTGACATACACTTAATTTAAATCAGTTGCTGTACATTTGGCTATGAAAATCAGTGTCATGGGTCAGATCAATTTCTTACGCCCATTGTTTAGAATCTAATCAGAGTTCGAGCTTGCCAGACAATATTGAAATGGACGTCAAACGCACAAGCTGACAGCGTATTTCTTACGACCTCATCAAAATATAGACTAGGGCTTACTGAGGGTTTGCCGTTAGATCTTGGAGATAAGAAGGCTGACATATTCTTTTCAGGATATTAATTACTTTCTTAAATATAAAAATGACAATAGTTCCAATACAAACATCAGATTCTCTGACAATTTGGAATCAAACTTATCTAACTTCAGTAGCAATTTGGCACTCAGGGCGTCCCTAAGGACGAAGTCTGGGATTCGTCACTTCTACTGGCAGAATCTACTCTAACTTATTTGACAATTCTACTAACAGTAAATACAGTTGAGGCTTTCAATTTCACTCACAAGAGGTCGTGAATGTTTCATCTATAATCAGACATATATCACTTACTGTACTACACAGGTATTCCCTTTCAGTTTCAAATCTCACAGCATGACATGAGATACTACTGTAAGGAATACTAGAGTCTCGGCACTACTCGAGAGAAAACGAAGGACTCAAGCCTACTGAAGCGGTGAGAAAACGCGCGCTTCAGATGGGGAACTCAATAATGAAAGCATAGCTACATGTTTTAGTGACTGGAGCGTATTGCGAATCATTAGACGTGTATTAACTAACATGTACTAACGGGATCAGTACAATGGGTCGGTTTATACTAGAAAACACCCTTCATCATAATTATAGTACTTTAATTTTATTGTCTTACCTTTTATTGCGGTTTTCCTCCAACAGACGGCCTTGTGTCTTCTGTCTTTCGTGGCACTTTTTTCTTTTAGTAAAGGGTGTAAAATTAAATAAATTTCAAAGAAAGCGAACCAAAGATTCTTTTATAAAAGAAGGCGTTTATCTATATTGGATAACTATATTAAATTGTTACATCCATAGTAGTTGACATTATAGCGTCTTATTATCATTTGTACACTCACTCTCTCACAGCATTGCTTTATACATTACCTGAGAAAAATTTATGAAGCAGAATCTTAGACGACAGGAGAACATTGCACACGACCAGTTAATAACTACTGTATATAGAGTTAAGCCATGCTATTAAAAACATGAATCTCCTTATGTGTTAATACTGGTTGCTGGTACAAAGATAATTAATGAATCTCTTATTGTTATCATTGTGTGTTATTGTTATTATTATTAGTTCAATATTAAAAAAATAACGGTTTCATCACACACACACACATATTTACACACAAATGCAAAAATACACACACACACACACACACACACAACACTACTCAATCATTACATATTAAACTCTCTCAGCTTTTATTAGTCTCAATTAAGACTTTTCAGCGCTCTTCAAGGCTTTCAGTTGAGTCTATACAGGTTGTTGAGGCTTAGTGGAGGAAGAGGGGGAAGGGGGTACAGTTGTGAGGTACTTATGTGAGGAGACTAAAAGAGTGTGTATGTATGTAGCCTCTGCACACTATAGGTACGCCACCTGTAAACAGTTACAACCAGTTTATACCGTTTAAAAAGAGTGTAAGAACAGACTGTACTTGTTTATAAGGATCTAGGCCTCTTCCCACAGGTGTAAGACAGTTCAGTGTAGTGTTCAACTCTCTTATCTGTCACCTGTTGATTCTCACCCATACAGCACGGGCAGATTAACATGGTCGATCTTCATGCCTGGTTTGGTTTCGTAAGTTTTATTGTCATTGTTATATCAGTTTTAACTTAAGTTCTCCTCTACACACGTCAAGTCTTAACCCTTTACTCCTATCCACACGTCAAGTTTATTTAAATACTAAAACTGTATTGACTTTGAGCTTTATATATATGATAAGTTTCCTTCAAATACTAAACCTGATTTAATCTAAGATCCCTAAACACGTAAAGTTTTATCTAAATCTAAAAACCTGTTTGAACGTGATCATTGTACACATGATAAGTTCTAAGTTCAAAACACAAAGGACGATGGTCTTTCCCACACAGGTATGGAATGACCAACGACTACAGTGGGACCCAGCACAACACAGTAACATCGACAGGTTGGGTGTTGACTCCAGTACTGTGTGGAAGCCTGACCTAACCATGTACACTATGTAAGTTACTATGTGTTCCTATATACTGAAGTTAGAACCTTCTTTCATATATAATTCACGATTGTCTATGATATTTTTAATACCTTTTCTATAACTTGTGTCATTTTTCATGATATGTTAGGTAACGTTTTCTATGATATGTAAGTAAAGTCGATTTTAAATTACTTTTTTTTTTACCTTCTGATGATCATATTTAGCCTATTTTGACCTCTAATTATGTCCTGCAATTCTTCATGACCTTCTGTCTCCATCATGGGCTCTGATGACCTGACGTGACCCCTGGTAGTGGCAGTCAAGACCAGAAGCACTTAATGGAGTCTGACGAACAAGTGGTGGTGGACTCTCTCGGCAAAGTGATATTCGTGCCACCAATGTTCATCCGGGTGCCGTGTGTGCTGGACATGACGTACTGGCCTCACGACATTCACAATTGTAAGATTAAAATTGGCTCCTGGGTCAACCACGCCGGCCTGGTGGACCTGAACACGGACAACTTTGTCTATAGCGTGAGTTAAGACCACTTGGGGTTAAAACCACCGAAAATCCTTTGGGGGAGAGAGGGGGGGGGAGAGTTAATATTCAGTTGACTACAAATATCTAACGTCTAACGGAAGTGAAAATAATTATCTTTAAGAAAACATATAAATGTTTTCACAAATTATTAATTATGATTATCATATTTATTATTACCCCTATGTCGTTTCTTTCATTTCATTTCACGTTCATCATCATCATCACCTTCCACGGATAACAGTCGGAGATGGAGACGGTGGAAGACGCTAACGGCAACAACATGACAACGACACAGTGGCAGATAACGGATGTGACGCCAGAGAGAATATCGAAGAAGTATGACTGTTGTCTGGAGAATTATGTGCACCTTCAAGTCTCCTTCAAGTTGAAACGTGACGCCCCTGCCTACTGCTGGACCGTTAAGGCACCTGTTGTGTGTAAGTGATGTCAGGTTTTGCGTGTAAATGTGCGTAAAATTAATTATATTTATCCTGCCGAAAGGTTGTAACTATCCTGACACACTATCCTGCCGCAGGTTTAAGTATCCTGACGGTAGTGTTGTTCCTACTGCCACCGAAAGCTGGGGAGAAGTTGGTCTTCGGTGGATTGTGTCTCATTCTGGACTTGCTCTTCATCGCCTACACGTCCAACATCGTCTCTTATGCTCCCTCTCGTGCACCACTCATAAGTAAGTCCCTCTCACGCCGCAATCAACCCCGTTCACACCCCCACTCAATCCCTCTCTAGGTAGTGGCGGAGAGGTGACATGCACTCGTGGATGCTCATTACGAAGCTGCAGGTCCTGTCAGCATCATCAAAATCGTGGATAAAAATATAATTTCAAGATGATGGCCCCAAAATACGACATTACCGGATCTTTAACAATATTAGGCCACTAAAATAGGACATTACCGGATCTTTAACAATATTAGGCCACTAAAATAGGACATTACCGGATCTTTAACAAATATTGGGCCACTAAAACGACATTACCGGATCTTTAACAATATTAGGCCACTAAAATAGGACATTACCGGATCTTTAACAATATTAGGCCACTAAAATAGGACATTACCGGATCTTTAACCACTAATAGTATAATCTATGTCCCAACAGTTCAGCTGGTGAGTCAACAATTGATACTGACGGTGGTGAGTGTCATATTGGCAGCGTTGGTGGTGAGGTTGGCCAGAGGTCCTCACCCCTCCCCCTTACCTTCCTTCCTCAAGACCCTGATAATGAAGCTGTCTACCGTTCTTTGCCTCTCCGGCTACGCCAAACTTGTAAGTATGTTTCCTACTGTGTATACTGAATCAAAACTCAAATGCCTAACGACCATATATAAGCACAACTACGAATCCTTAAAACAACGAAAGTTACTCACAGATGATGACGGGAGACTCTTGTAACAGCTTCAACACAGCTCACGTCACAACACACTTTAAAACAATAACAAAATCATCACAACACCCAGACTTCCCCCCCCCCTCACCTCATACTGACATGAACATTCTCAGTAGTTCGCAGCTGCTCGAGTAGTAACCAATTAAAACCAGGATCTTGTTGCCTTCGATGTCAATCAACCAATTTGAATGAGGATCCTGTTTTTACGTCGGTGTGTCTCAACTGATCACAGCTGTGAGTCAATAAACAAGCAGTTGTTTACAGGCCTGACTGTGAGGAGAGAGAGAGAGAGATACAAAAGCGTCACAAAATACGAGGTGTTGTCAGGTGTTGTTAGTGTTATACTGTTGTCAGGCTTTGTCAGTGTTGTTAGGTGTTGTCAGTGTTGACAGGTGTTGTCAGTGCTGTTCGTGTTGTCAGTGTTTATCAAGGCATTGTCAGTGTTGTCAGGTGTTGTCAGTGTTGTCAGTGTTTGTCAAGGCATTTTCAGTGTTGACAGTGCTGTCAGGTGTTGTCCGGTGTCTTCAGGTGTAGTCAGTGTTGTCAAGTGTTGCCAGGTGTTGTCAGTGTTGTCAAGAGGCTCAAATATTTCTCAAGGCGTTGATGGAGGTTCAGGGGGATGAATTAAGCCTCAGGTAATAATAACCAAAGAATTTACACAATACGAAGGATGGATTACCTGAAGATTAACCACCCTAGCATTACCTGGGTGCTAGGTTAGGATAGGTTACGATAGGATAGGATAACAGCAGTCAGAACAGATCTCTCAATGTACAGTTGAAGATGACTGCTGACTGTAACATTCATCGTCACCCCAGCGCGACTTCTACAGTCTGTAGGTAGGCAAGAGTGACCTCCTGTACACAGCTGGTCAGAGTTTTAATAGTGGAGGTTCTTGTTTCTACAGCTACGGTTAATAAACATAAAAACCAACATCGTGATCCACAACTCTGACTCGGTGTGGATATGGAGGGGATATTATGGATAGTTCTTTATATTTGGCATAGTTATCCCTCAACCATTTTCTTTCTTAACCGATTTCTTTCTTTAAAGGTGACTGAGAGTGAGCAAGACATGAGCTCGAAGAGGAATGAGGTTGAGATGGCTGAGGGAGGAGGGGAGAGGCGAAGTGATGACGCTCACAATGTCAACAAGAACCAGTGGCTCCTCTTGGCTGCCATGCTCGACCGTCTTCTCCTCTTCATCTTCCTTCTCGCCTGCATCGTCCTCCTCAGCAGGTTCTCCAGCATTCTGTAGTAACACTTGGGGTGCCTCCTGAAGCCATCCAGCGCCACCACAAGTGCCCAGCTCTCGGCCAGACTAAACCACTCAACAGTACACATGACTCACCTTACGTGGCCTTAGCCCATTTGTGTCACATTATAACACAATTGCTTACAAAGGTCTCTTGTTACTGAGGACTTGTGTGTGTTACATTAAGTGTTCATTATACTACTTTAATTCTACAGTGGAATATGTTTATAATACTTCTATGTACTTTTATTTAGTAGTTTGAGTTTGCATAATTGTTTTAGATATAATTGCATGCAAGATGTATTGTACTACAAGTGAGCCGTATTTCTGGGCTCTCAGTATTAATGTTACCTCACCAGCCAATCTTGAAATGTAAACACACTTGACCACATGTTTTACGGTTTTGTGATAATGTACAGCCCCCCCCCCCCCCTCCAGGGTGTGGGCGTGGTTGAGAGTAAGAAGGGAGTAAGGGAGTACTGGGAGAAATAACATTGACGCCATCAACCAATGAACAAATATCCTGTAAGGAAGGCGTCAGTTGTCCACAAGTAAAGACGGAAGCAATTTTAAGTCTTTCTTTTTACAGCTCATATCACTGAATAGAGATAGAGAGACATTTTGAGATTTGACTGAGAATTTTTAGATATTTGAGTCTCGGAAACACAGAGAGAGACAGAAACAGACATGAAGAAGCCAATGGGGAGGGGGGGGGGTCATTACAGATATCCCTCTTCCCTGACCCCCTTCTTTCAGGTGACAATTAACTCAATATAAATGCATCTGTTGAATATTATCAATTTCAGTATATTTCAATTACTGTTCCATTCAAAATAATAATAACATATGCTTGCTCTGTGTTTGTTATTATCCTCCCAGCGTGTATATGACTCGAGCCAATACAAAGATGAAATACTATTGTTGATGACTTAATGTACCACTACCCCACCACAACGAGGAACTTGTATTGTAGAATTTATATGATTTCGTTTCAATTATTTATTTTTTATTATTATTATTTTTTTTTTTTTGCATTTTTACAAGTACAAAAACTTCTAAATAATATGATACAGGTAACCCCACAGCTGTACCTCTTTTCCTGTACCACCACAACTGTACCATCACACCTGTACCACCACACTTATACCCATAAACCTGTAACCCCACACCCGTACCCCTACACTTACGACATACAGTTGTTTGTTTGGAATGTTTGTTATTCTTCGGAACCAAGATGGGTGAACCTTTGAATCCTGATGAGGTGGCGGCTCTCTCTCTCTCTCTCTCTCTCTCTCTCTCTCTCTCTCTCTCTCTCTCTCTCTCTCTCGTAGCAGTGCAGATTTCTCTATCTTACATAACAGAGAGAGAGAGAGAGAGAGGGAGATCTGCACCGCTACAACCCGGTTATACAAACAATTTACATAAACACTGCAGGTATACAAAGAGAGTACCTGGAGATTTCAAGGAGGCAAACAAGAGTAAACAATACATTATTAAGATAATTTACCTCTTTACCACTGGTCACTCACGCTTCACCACTTGTCACTCACGCTTCACCACTTGTCACTCACGCTTCACCACTTGTCACTCACGCTTCACCACTTGTCACTCACGCTTCACCACTTGTCACCACTTGTCTTCACCGCTTCACCACTTGTCACCACACGCTTCACCACTTGTCACCACTTGTCACTCACAGCTTCACCACTTGTCACTGCTTCACTTGTCACTCGCTTCACCACTTGTCACTCACCGCTTCACTTGTCATTCACCACTTGTCACTCACCGCTTCACCACTTGTCACTCACGCTTCACCACTTGTCACTCACCACACTTGTCACTCACGCTTCACCACTTGTCACTTTCGCTTCACCACTTGTCACTCATCGCTTCACCACTTGTCACTAACCACGTGTTGTAGTCGACAATTCTACATCAAACATTTCACAAGTTAATATATGGTGTTTGTGTTTAGTTTTATAGTGCAAAATGTCCTTACTTATACACCTACAAGTATCACCTTAAGATTAGACGCCCTACCTTATTTCATCTATTGTATAATATCCTAACCTATCCTAATCCATCCTAATCCATCCTATCCTGACCTTACTTAACCTAACCTAAGCTAACCTAACCTAACCTAACCTAACCTAACCTATCCTAATCCATCCTAATCCATCCTATCCTGACCTTACTTAACCTAACCTAAGCTAACCTAACCTAACCTAACCTAACCTAACCTATCCTAATCCATCCTAATCCATCCTATCCTGACCTTACTTAACCTAACCTAACCTAATCTAACCTAACCTAACCTAACCTAACCTATCCTAATCCATCCTAATCCATCTTATCCTAACCTTACTTAACCTAACCTAACCTAATCTAACCTAACCTAACTTAACCCAATCTAATTTAATTTCACAGACAGACAGATAGACAGAAAAATAAACAGTGAGAGACAGAGAGGTAGATAAACTGAGAGAGAGACAGATAGAAGGATAGTGACAGGCTGAAAGACAGTCAGAGATCGATAGATAGAAAGACAGACAGGAAGTGAGAGAAGCCTTCACACCTTCTCTCACTCCATCACTCCTACATTACCTTCCTCCCTCAATCCCTCAGTCCCCCCCTCTCTCACTCTCTCTCTCCCTCCCATGCCCCCCGCCTCCATTTCTCCTCCTCCACTTCCCTCCCTCCCTCCCCCCTCCCTCCATCGCTCACTGCCCTCCAAGGTTTGGAAAACTATCCCAGAAAAGAAGACGGAAATGATAAAGAGACGTAGAGAAGGAGATATGAGGAGAAGGAAGAAAATTAAGAAGATGGGGGGAAATGAAGAGGAGGAGAGGGAGAAGAGGAGAAATAGGAGGAGGAAAGAGGAGAGGGAGGGAGAGGGGTGAAGAAGAGTAGGATGGGGGTTGATGAAGAAGAGGAGAGGAGGGAGAAGAAGAAGAGCAGGTGGAGGGGGAAGAGTAGAAGGGGGGAGAAGAGAACAAGGGGGAAGAAGTAAGAAGGGGTGGAACGAGAAGAATAGAAAGAGGAGGGAAAAGAGGAGGAGAAAGAGGAGGAGAAGGGGGGAGAGAGAAACAGGAGGGGTTATCAAAAGCCATGGGGGACGCCGCTAGTCAGTTGCGTTAGGAAGGCCAACCCGCATGGATAGCCGAGCCAAGACCTACCGCCATCCAGCCCCATACACACATTCATGGACCTCCGTACTACTAGTGAGTGGCTTTGTCTCTCTATCTCTCTATATCACTCTTTCAATAGGTTAAGTTAAGATAGGTTAGCTGACATGGTAGATAAGATGGACGATATTATGTTTAGTAATGAAAACAAAAACCATTACTTTATTTGCCTCAGTGTAAAGGGCAACGATATTGGTCGGTGTATGAGTGGTAAAAGTGTGTCAGAGAGAGTTGTTGGGCATATATCTAGGGTCAGGGGCATATATCTAGGGCCAGGGGCATATCTAGGGCCAGGGGCATATATATCTAGGGTCAGGGGCATATATCTAGGGCCAGGGGCATATACAGGTATCTAGGGCCAGGAACATATAGGGCCAGGGGCATATATCTAGGGTCAGGGGCATATACAGGTATCTAGGGCCAGGGGCATATATCTATGGTCATGGGCATATATCTAGGGCCAGGGGCATATATCTAGGGTCAGGGGCATATACAGGTATCTAGGGCCAGGAACATATATCTAGGGCCAGGGGCATATATCTAGGGTCAGGGGCATATACAGGTATCTAGGGCCAGGGGCATATATCTATGGTCATGGGCATATATCTAGGGCCAGGGGCATATATCGAGGGGCAGGAACATATATCTATGATCATGGGCATATATATATATATGGCCGGGTGTGCATATATCTATAGTGTGGGTGGCAGTTCTGGCTAGTTCACTCGAAGGGGTAGTTGCTAAGGTGATGCAGGCTCTTTAACAGCTGCAGGTGAACAGGGCGGCGTGAGGGGCGAGGAGGCGTCAGGGCGGCGTGAGGGGCGAGGAGGCGTCTGCGAGGATACCTAACAAAAGTGTAAACAAGAAATTAAATCAGAAACGACAATAAAGTAAATTTAGTCGAGATGATAACCTCAAACTCGACAGAGAAAAAACTCAGAGCAACACTAGTTTAAATATCTACTACCCAAACTTTATTAATATTCGCATTAAGATGGAAGATACCAGAGCTCTTGTGTGTACTGAAGAGAAAAAAGTGCTACGCTAACATACACAGAAACTTGGATCCATTTTTTAGTTACCTGTTGAATATTAAATTAAGGAGTATAACATATTTCACACCGAGAGAAGCAAAACAGGAGGAAGGGGAGATAATATAAGTGTTTGTCATGAAGAGTTTGAGGTGCGTTATAAGATAGAGTGGTCACTGAGAGAGCCTAGATGGGTGGAGGTGGTGTAGGAAAGTGAAGGACAATTGACTAATAGGAGAAACATACAAACACACCAAACGGTCATTGAACAATAGGGGAATTAATTTGACTGAACTAACAAGAGCTTCGAGAAATAATAATGTTTGTAGATATAAATAAGGTTGACAATTGTAAAGTGTAGTTTGTAATCTTAAATATGTATCTGTTTGTCCCTCCTTCCTCCCTTCTCCCTTCTCCCTCTGCGTCTCCCTCCCTCCTTTACCTTCAGATGTCACCCCCACCCCCCCCTCTTTTCCCCCAGCCCCTCCCTCCCTTGAGCCTTCAGATGTCACCCCCTTTCTCCCCCTTTCCTCCCCCTTCTTCCTCCCTCCTTTACCTTCAGATGTCACCCCCTTTCTCCCCCTTTCCCCTTATTCTCCCCTGCCCCCCCTTCCGCCTGGCTCTTGACCTATTAACCAAAGACGTAACTTAGAATAACAAATAACCAATCCTTCTGTGTGGTTAGGTTAGGTTAGGTTAGGTTAGGTTAGGTTAGGTTAGGTTAGGTAAAAAGTGAACCACAACGTAAGATGTGATCTCTTACAGGTAACCAGGAACGTGTGAACGGAAGGAGGAACCACGAAGAATAAGTGAACGTATCTTCCACCTCTTGAGACTTTCCTGGACTAGAAGAGAACGCCCTTACGTTCTTACAATCACAAGAACGGTAAAGGACAGAGTGAATGGGTATATGAACTCTCCAATAAACGCCTGAACGAAAATTGAACGTCCCGGAACTCCTAAAACTGCCAGGGAGGAAAAGAACGGACCTTCGACTTTCTAGAAACAAGTGAACGGGAGGAGAGAACGGCCTTTCCTAGAAGAACGTAGAGCCTTGCAAGCCGTTCCACAGTAGAGACTCCTTCACCAGCATTATCCAGAAGAGAAGGATAACGGAGAAGATGAGGTTAATAGTCATAATCCTCCAAGTGGCCTGGATAGGTGAGTAGATGGATAATGGATGGATAGATGGATAGAGAGAGAGACAAGAGAGAGGAGGGTGATTCAGACAGACGGGGAAAGAGAGAGAGAGATTCAGACAGACAGACAGAGAGAGATGGATAAATAGAGAGATAGACAGAGAAAGAGAGAGGTGAATAGAGAGAGACAAGTAAAAAAGAGAGAGAGAGAGAGAGAGAGAGAGAGAATAAATAGGAATAAGAGAGAGATAACAGCCACAACAAGCAGAGATAGATCAGTAACTACTAGCATCCGCCCTTGTGAACATCTGCAACACCATGAGAGAGAGAGAGAGAGAGAGAGATGCGAGTACAGGTTTCAAATTAAGACAATTCTCTATTTTGTCATTTATACTTTCGATGATTCTGATCTCTCTCTCTCAGGACTCACAGAATGCAGGAGAAACCCGGAATCAGAGAAGCAGTTGAGAAAATCTGTCCTACAAGACTACGATAAGCTCTCCTTCCCTCCTTCAGGCAACACCTCCATAAAGATCTTCATTCATGGCATCTCTATCCACAACCTCCAGATGGTGAGTGTCCAGTATTGTGCTTCAGTCACTATACATGGGTTTGACTCACTATACATGGGTTTGAAGTTACTATACATGGTCTGAGGTCACTATCAGGCAACATCATCATACGTTCTTCATTCACCATACCATCACACCACCACATTACAACACACCATCACACTACCACAATACCACCACACTACCACACCACCACACCTGCTCCCAATAACGCCAACACCATCACCATCACTACACTTAACATGGTGACGGTGTGATAGTGTACAGTGCTAAACATACACACGTGTCTGTCTCTTGTATGTGTTGGCTCCCACGTAATCCACCAGCTTGACTGGCTCAGTCACAGCTCATCTACCTGTATTCCGTTAATTAACACACCTCACTTACCTGTGTTTCGTTAATTAACACACCTCATCTACCTGTATTCCGTTAATTAAGACACCTCACTTACCTGTGTTTCGTTAATTAACACACCTCACTTACCTGTGTTTCGTTAATTAACACACCTCACCTACCTGTGTTTCGTTAATTAACACACCTCACCTACCTGTGTTTCGTTAATTCACCTACCTGTGTTTCGTTAATTAACACACCTCACCTACCTGTGTTTCGTTAATTAACACACCTCACCTACCTGTGTTTCGTTAATTAACACACCTCACCTACCTGTGTTTCGTTAATTAACACACCTCATCTACCTGTGTTTCGTTAATTAACACACCTCACCTACCTGTGTTTCGTTAATTAACACACCTCACCTACCTGTGTTTCGTTAATTAACACACCTCACCTACCTGTGTTTCGTTAATTAACACACCTCACCTACCTGTGTTTCGTTAATTAACACACCTCACCTACCTGTGTTTCGTTAAATAACACACCTCATCTACCTGTGTTTCGTTAATTAACACACCTCACCTACCTGTGTTTCGTTAATTAACACACCTCACTTACCTGTGTTTCGTTAATTAACACACCTCACCTACCTGTGTTTCGTTAATTAACACACCTCACTTACCTGTGTTTCGTTAATTAACACACCTCACCTACCTGTGTTTCGTTAATTAACACACCTCATCTACCTGTGTTTCGTTAATTAACACACCTCACCTACCTGTGTTTCGTTAATTAACACACCTCACCTACCTGTGTTTCGTTAATTAACACACCTCACCTACCTGTGTTTCGTTAGCTCAACAGAACTAACGAAACACAATATACAGTTTCATATAACCAACGCTAAGATATTCGGCTTATATAATGGATCGTATATAATTAACCTGCCTATAAGAGTGTTGGTATAAAGAGACTATAGTGTGTGTGTGTGTGTGTGTGTGTGTGTGTAATAATAATAATAATAATAATAATAATAATAAACGGTTTATTAATAGAGTTGCAGCCGGTGGCTGAAAATATACAGACTTACACTTGATTTAGACATAATGATATAATATGCATTGAATACATTTACAGGGCTGTACAGTATATAAGTCAGGAGTTGTTTATTATTTTAGCAGTAGATGGGATGGTGCTGTTCTTATATCTATCGGTGCGGGCTCTTATGGGCTGAATTTTGTTGTAGTGGCGGACTGCGCGAGTTGGGTGGGGGGCTGCAGGTGGCAGGAGGTGGCGATGACGAGGGTGGTGCAGTAGTCCTAGGCCAAACCTTTCCAGTGCTTGGTGGTGGAGGTCACTGAGGGATGGCATTTCCAGGGTGGAGAGAGCGTTGGTGTAGCCGGAGTATTCTGCGCCGAGCATGATTCTGCAGGCCCTTTTCTGTACCTACTCTAGCTGACGTTGTTGGGTAGAGTTGAGAGAAGACGACCAGGCTGGTGACGCATATGTTAGTTTGGGGAGAATAAAGGCACACACACACACACACACACACACACACACACACACACACACACACCGGACACACCTTAAAAAGCACATAATCATTCACTACAGGTATTATCTCAGGTATTCAGGGGGGGGGGCACATACGCACCAGGTATATTGATTACTAATACAGACCTACGCATGGTTCCTGGGTGTATGTGTGAGCCTCTATGTGCATATGCATGTGCCCTTGGATGTACTGCACATGTGCGTGCGAGGGCGTACATGTGTATGTGTCTGAGGGTGTACATGTGTGTGTGGGTGTACATGTGTGTAGATAGATAGACAAGTAAAGAGTTAGACAGGTAAACAATTAGACAGGTAGACAGGTAAGACTCTCACCTGTCTCACGTGACCTCAGTTCTCAAGTATGGACGGTATCACCTCTTGTTGTTGACCCGGTTATGACGTCACAGCTATCGTCATAGTTGGACTTGTATTTAATGTGTTTTGTTTAGTATTACGTCAAGTCCAATGTTTACTGTGTCGTTGTGCACTAAGTCAAATCCAGGGCCAACGTCACCCTGACCACACTGAGTATCGGGATCCCAACAAGTCCACCCTAAAGACGCCATCTTATCCTAGGACGTGTGCTGGTTGGCTAATAAGTCCCGCCCAGCAAACCTCTATTTAACGGGCTAATATTAACAGGAAAATCCGGTATATTGAGACGTTCGTTGGATGTGAGACTCCCATCTAACGAACTGTATAGTGATGAGAACCCATTATATCGAGGGTCCGCTAGATGTGAAATCCCCATCTAACGGATTATATTGTATATAGAGGAAAATCCGGTATATGAAGGTTTCATTACACACACACACACACACACAAGGTCGAATATTACATAACCACATACCCCGACGTACTGTACGTGTCTAGTCAAACTTAATGAGTGCATGTGCGTGTATGTGTGGGTGTGTGTGTGTGTATCCGACCACCATATCGATACGTGTGCACCAGGCAACAATGTACAGTGCAGGTGCGCACACAAAAGCCTATAGCAGTGTCTCTCGTTACCTTCCCTCCCATACACCGCCTTATTCTCTCCCTCCCTCCCTCTCTCCCTGTTTAATAATAAGAACAACAACAACACAAACAACAACAAAACAACAGCAATAAGAACAGCAACAACAATACCTACAATAACAACAAAAACAGAAAAAAGTTAATTCAAACCAAACTCACTTTACATTATCTGAGTCACTGACCAGCTGGTTCACTTTCCTCAACAAGATGGTGATTCGTAAATATAAACTCACCCCACACACTCACCCACACCCCACCCACACCCAACCCTACATCCAACACCACACAACACCACACACCCGTTCAACACCACATTCTAACCGCCCCTTACACCCTCAACACCACATCACACCAGCACACCACCCCCTCAGACTCGGAGCAACGGATTCAAGTTGGATAAGTTTAGGTTTAGGAGGGAGATAGGAAGAAACTGGTTCACAAATAGGGTGGTGGACGAGTGGAACAAGCTTAGCAACTTTGTAGTAAGTGCGGGAACTCTGGAAAGTTTCAAAAGGAGGCTGGATAGATTCATGGATGATAGAGAGTGGTAGTAACTCTCGACAGGAGCTGCCATGCACAGGCCAACCCGCCTATTGCAGACTCCTTATTTTCTTATGTTCTTATGTTATGTACACCCCCCCCCCCCACCTCAGCCCCTCGCCAGGTAGAAGATCTCGACACACCTTTGTAGTGACTGTCACTGTCAAGCTGTGGGGGCCGGGGGGGGTTAATGGACACTATGACAGATGGTGTCTCTTGGGTAGTTGTCGTCGCTGTGGTTGACGCCCCTCACAACTATCTGGCGATCACATAATCACCATAGTCTACCCAAACCTAACCTAACCTCACCTTACCTAGCCTAACCTTACCTAACCTAACCAAACCCAAGCAAACCTAACCTAACCTAACCATGTAATCTCCAGGAATGTGACCATGGACGCTGGACAGACCTTGACAATATAGAGGAAGACTTGTTTGTGTTGCCCCCCGTGTGGCGTGCGCAGGCCGATGCGCCTCGGACAGAATAATTGAATGATCGCGGTTTGTTTGATGGGCTGGAGAGAGAGAGAGTCTATACCTGGTTGTTTATATTCAGTTAAGTTATTCAGAGTGCATCAGAGACCAGACATAACCAGCACCCCAACACCCACACCTGCACCACAACACCCACACCTGCACCACAACACCCACACCTGCACCACAACACCCACACCTGCACCACAACACCCACACCTGCACCACAACACCCACACCTGCACCACAACACCCACACCTGCCACAACACCCACACCTGCACCACAACACCCACACCTGCACCACAACACCCACACCTGCACCACAACACCCACACCTGCACCACAACACCCACACCTGCACCACAACACCCACACCTGCACCACAACACCCACACCTGCACCACAACACCCACACCTGCACCACAACACCCACACCTGTACCACAACACCCACACCTGCACCACAACACCCACACCTGCACCACAACACCCACACCTGTACCACAACACCCACATCTGCACCACAACACCTACACCTGCACCCCACATCTGCTTGACTCCAGTTTTATCTGAACTTTAGCTAACTCTCATTAACTAAATTCTTTATGATGATCTCGTATTCAAGGCTAGAAGCAGTCGTTTTCAAGGGGTGTAGCAAGTGTGTGTGTGTGTGTGTGCAGGTCATGCTAAGAATATCATCAGGCCGCCCAGAGACGAAGAACATTGTGTCACAATGTTTAGTTACTCCACCCACGTGCAGGGAGAGACACAGGTGTGGGTGGGGGAGACACAAGATCATCTCAATTAACCTTCACTACCTGTTCAAAAGGGTTCACACTCCGCTGGCCTCATAGACAAAGTCCTCTTGCTCACAGGTAACGAAGGTCACCTGGACTAAACGAAGGTGATGTGACATCCTGATGAAAGTGACAACGACTCTAACCTAACCTCACCTAACCTAACCTATCCTAACTTAACCAACCTATTGTATGATAGTGTAAACAGAATCATCATTGCCATATTAATCACTCGATTTAATTACTTGTGTTTATATGTTATATGTTGTTTATATGTGTCAACAAATGTTTACGATTGTTTACAGATGTTAACAGTTGTTTCATGGAGTTTATAGTTGCTTTACTATCATTTCATACTAATTGCATTTATTTATAGGTGTAAAAAGGTGCTTCCGGGTTTTTTATTATCGTGTACAGGTATTTACAGGTGTTTGTTTACTTTCAGCACGAAGACACGCACTCACTGGAGGTCCAGAGCTTATTGAGTTATGTGAGTATTGTCATGTGCTGAAGGGTCACATCAGGGGTCATGTCAGCGGTCATATCGTGTACCTACACTTAAACACACACATACATATTAAAGTCTCCTGTACACTCACACACTACTATCTCTGTAAACACCCACGCTCAACAGGGTATCCCTCCAACATTTAATCTTTACTGATGTTAAATGAACGAATCTAGAGTCTCACCGTAAATCTGATGCCAAATTAGAAGGTTAATTCTGTGCTGTAGTTTGAGGCAGATGAAAGCAGCTGAGATATAAGGTGACAGTACCCCGACCTCTGTACGACAACACTTGTGTTGTCAATAGTAAGAGAAACAATTGAGACCCTGCAGTTGTGTGTCAGATCAGCAACCTGGGACTTGGTCACAATTTTCGTGATGCCATATGGCAGCAGGGTCTACCATTAGACAATACATTATGCTTCCAATATCTTCCCAGGCGGTAGTACCTCCCTGTTTGGTAGCCGCCTACTACCTTGTTGTTGTTGTTTTAGAATATCTGGCCACTTCGCCTTCGGCTATTTCGGCCGGAGCTGCTGTCTTTTTGTTCTTCTTCTGGGTCATTCTTGAGGGTTTTGTTTATTTCTGGTCTACATTGTTGCGCTTTATTACTCTGATGGCCTTCTGTCTTCTTTTTTCTTGTTGTTGTTGTTATAGTTTTTGGACGGGTTATGCGATGAATGGCTGATATGATGGTAAATCAATGCCAGTAGGGGTTGAATCAGCCGGTACCAATATCGTAGTACCGGCCGTACCTCTGGGCGGGACATCTGAGCACGTCGTGAGGGTGGACCGGGGTGTAGGAGGGCAGAAGACTATTGAATCCGGTCCAGTGAGCAGACATGCCGATGTCAAAAAGGAACTCATGGATCATTCTCGGGACGCAGAGTATGGCGGTCCTCTCAGTATGTCGTCCCATTTGTCTCTTATAATAGTGCATCATGAGCCATGAGTCGTCTAACTCAACTCGTAACGTAGTCGAGGAAGACGAGTGCGTGGAAGGCGCAGGTCCGGTACAGTGGCTGTTGAACTATTGCTTGTACAATCGATACATCCTCGTAGGGGATGCCGTGACGGTCCATGTATTCATGAAAACAAGCATGCACCGGCCGGGGCGTGGAGTCGTGGTAGAGGTGCCGGCCGTCGGGACGCCGATACAAGGATACACAGTGGTCGACATCCTCTCCCAGTGACCCCACCAGGTACCCTCACCTGGTACCAGCGGGGACAGGTACTGTATGTAGGAAACTTTAATTACCTGAACCCAAGAGCCTAATTAGTTACCTGGGAGAACAGTACCTCGTTAAGCCTTCCCTCAGGTGTGTGTGTGTGTGTGTCGTCTACCTATCACACACACACACACACGCACACACAGACACACACACACACACGCACACAGACACACACACACACACACACACAAGTAGGTGGGGTGGTTCAGGATATATATTGTTAATGCAATTGTGAATTTATTCTCTCTCTCTCTCTCTCTCTCTCTCTCTCTCTCTCTCTCTCTCTCTCTCTCTCTCTCTCTCTCTCTCTCTCTCTCTCTCTCTCTCTCTCTCTCTCTCTCTCTCTCTCTCTCTCTCTCTCTGTCTGTCTCTCTCTGTAATAAATATGTCTATAGAAATATCTTTTTGTAACTTTTTGTAACCTTGTTTATATTGTACTGTACTTTGAGCATACCCTTGGTGCCCCTAACTGTACCCATGGTAGTCAGTACAGTCTGTAGCCTAACCTAACCACCATAACCTAACCTAACCATACCTCACCACCATAGCCTAACCTAAACTAATCTTTCACAGGGCTGGACGGACCTTCGCCTCAGGTGGGACTTGTCGGAACATATGGACTTGGACCGACTAGGTATGGAGCCTGACCAGATCTGGAAGCCTGACCTAGCTGTATATAACACGTAAGTCTGTTTGTCTGTCTTTTTCTTTCTCTCTATGTATTCCTGTATCCTAACCTCTATGTATCTTCATCCTCCATGTATCCTGACCTTCCCTGTATCGTATGTATCCTGTAGAGTCAACGAGGATTTCCGTCTACATAAGTCCCAGCTGCCTCTCTTGGTGTACCCAGACGGCAGTGTTATGTTCGAGCCACCAGTACACCTACACTTCACCTGCGTCATGGACCTGACCTATTGGCCTCACGACACACACAACTGTTCCGTAATGATCGGCTCCTGGGTACACAATGGCTTTATGATGGATATGGAGGTGACATCTGATACTCCCAAGGTAAGTGTGGGTTGGTTGGTGTGGTGGGTGGTGGTTGTTGTAGTGTGTGTGGGGAGGGTGTTGTGTGAGTGGTTGTTGTTGGTTGCAAAACTACAATAGTCTTGGTGTTAATTCATGTCGCCACTCTCACACTAACAACCCTCCCTCTCACCACTCCCACTCGCTCTCATCCAATGTAGAGTGTGTGGCCAAACATATGGCCACACACTCCAAAACTACGTCTTAGACTGTGACAAAATAGAATCTTAAAGGGGTATATCCAAGCACACTGTGTATACAATGGCACAGCACTTTATCTCTGACGACAAGATAGCTGATATACTAAGGCTGGATCCACACTTCGCATCAAGTACCTAATCAAAATTCTATGTTCCGACTTAAACAAACAATGTAGTGGAAATACTCTGGAACATTCATTGGCATAATATCCTGACCACTGGGGTCTAATAAACACCCTTTGTGGCCTCTACTCTGTAATCCTTTTTGCACTAGCGCTCACAGGATCAGTGCACAATAAACTAGCTGATGTCCGCCGCAAAATTAAAAAATTCTCTTCCCACTCAACCTTTACAGTTCAACATTGAGTCACACACTATGGATCCTTCGGTAAGCATCAACATATATGAGTGGGAGGTGGTGGAGGCGAAGATGGCCAGGATGACGCACCACTACAGCTGCTGTAACGAGCCTTACGTCGCCATGAAGGTCTCCTTACTGCTGCGTCGCTCAGCTCCTGCCTATGCCTGGAGCGTCAAGACTCCCGCCCTCTGTAAGTAGCCTCACTGTAGCCCTTACTATACTGTAGTCTTATATATATATATATATATATATATATATATATATATATATATATATATATATATATATATATATATATATATATATATATATATATATATATATATATTTTTTTTTTTTTTTTTTTACAGGGGATTAGCCCACCCAGGCACAGTTCACTGATCCATCAGGGCCTGGGGGCGAATAATATAATAATAATAATAATAATAATAATAATAATAATAATAATAATAATAATAATAATAATAATAATAATAACTATTATTATTATTATTATTATTATAATTAAAAAAATAATAACAAAATACCTGTACTAAAAATAAAAATACTATACTAAAAATAATAATAATAACCATAAATAAATACAAAAACGAGAAAAATAAATCAAGAGTGAGAAACGATATACATTATGTATGTTGTGTTGTCAAAGTAAGAGAAACAATTGAGACCCTGCAATTGTGTGTAAATGAGGCAGAAAGTCAGATCAGCAACCTGGGACTTGGTCACAATTTTGTGGTGCCATATGGCAGCAGGGTCTACCATTAGACAACACATTATGCTTCCAATATCTTACCAGGCGGTAGTACCTCCCTGTTTGGTAGCTACCTACTACCTACTACCTCCTGCCCTCTGTAAGTTACAAAATAACACAATAATTTACTCCAACTGCTGTACCTTGTAAACTCCTGAGTGCAGTAACACTAACACACTCTCCTGCCGCAGGTATGTGTATCCTGACGGTGGTGTTGTTCCTACTGCCGCCGGGAGCTGGGGAGAAGTTGGTCTTCGGTGGATTGTGTCTCATTCTGGACTTGCTCTTCATCGCCTACACGTCCAACATCGTCTCTCACGCCCCCACTCACACCCCACTCATAAGTAAGTCTCTCTCACACACCCCACTCGTACGTAAGTCTCACACATACACTCACACACTCAAAAATCTTAACCTTTTCCTTATCCAACACACTTCAATGTTATTATTATTGTAAAAAAGAAAAGAATTTTTTTTACGTCCTTCAGTAATCCCCACATTTTCTTTTACAGTATTCGGCAAACAATTGATGGCAAACTAAATGAAAGTTGTCATGTTACTGGGATTAAATGGAGAGGGAATAATGGTAATAACGATACGAGGAGTTAGTGGTGAAATATCCTAATATCTGACATATAAGGAAGGGAAGGAGAGAAAGAGAGATAAAGAGAGAGAGAGAGAGAGCTACAGAGAGAGAGACAATATCTGGTCGTGAGTAAGGTGGAGAGATTTAGATACTGTTTTGTATACTAACAACAAGCAGGGCAGTATAGCGACCCAAGGGTGTTGTGACCATGACAGTAAATCGCCAACTCAATTCTCACACAGCTGCCAGAGTCTGTATAACCAAACACTGTTATATAATAGATGTGTGAGGGATGTTAAGACTGTGTTCCTCTACATTGGAAGCCGAGAGAGACGAGTGGACAGAGCGCTCACCTTCTGTCCTAATGGTCGTTGGTTCGTGCCTAGGACGGTCACGTTCCACTCAGCAGAGAATGGGAAAACGATGACGACTCAGTATTATGATGACAACACCACTGCCCCGTGTGTACCTAAGGCTCAGTACACAGTATCTCCATCGACCTTAGGGACAGCCAGACCCACTTCCACTAATGTAAGGTCACTAATACCAATATCCATACCTCCACAGTTCAGCTGGCGAGTCAACAGCTGGTGTTGGTGGTGGTGAGTGTGTTGTTGGCGGCGTTGGTGCTGAGGCTGGCTAAGGACCCGCACCCCTACCCCCTTCCATCGATATTCAAGTCACCCGCTATCACTCTGTCCTATTTCCTCTGCCTCTCCAACTACACCAAACTCGTACGTATACTTCCTCTTAATTATACTGTGTTTATAATCTTAATTTTTCCCCGAAAGAAAATGGTCTGTAATATTGTTTTTGATAAATTCTTAATGAACCATTTTTTATTATAGAAAACGTTAACAACCATCTCCTTTGAGGGGAAACTCATTCAAAAATTAATGAGACATTCTATTATATTGTAGAGACGGCCATTAGCTGGGGGCCTTTGACGAGCAACGTATTTAATGAGTTAGTCACAGTTTTTTTTAAATATTATAATGCTTCATAAACATGGTTCACATTTCTCTCTCTCTCTCTCTCTCTCTCTCTCTCTCTCTCTCTCTCTCTCTCTCTCTCTCTCTCTCTCTCTCTCTCTCTCTCTCTCTCACACACACACACAATCCCTAATCTCAATTTTCCCCGCCAGGTGGCCAGTACCCAGCAGGAGTACGCCTTCGCAGCCAAGACTGAGGAGGTAGAGCTGGGGGAGGACTGTAGCGACGATGACAGTATCAGACGTGTCAACCCCCGCGGCCTCTACAACCATCAGTGGCTCCTCCTGGCGGCTATCTTCGACCGCCTCGCCCTCCTCCTCTACCTCGCCATCTGCGTCATCACCCTCATCCGCTTCTCCAGTGTCCTCTAGTGCCATTTTCTGTATTAGTCAACCACCTAAAGAGCCAGTCAACCACGTAAAGTGTCAGTCATATATACATATTATTTCCCGTCTACACACTTTAACAGACTCTCATTTGAACAGATTTTATATTTTTTTTTAATTTGATTTGACTCGTTGCTGTCTTGTTAAGAATATATTTGTGTTTACTTGTCACTGTACATCTCTTTGTCTGTGTGTTTATTTGTCTGTGTTTATTGTGTTTATGTTTATGAATTTATGTTTTGTTAGAGTAATATTGAATGTTTTTGAGTTTTAGTAAAATATATTGACGTGATGATGACTTGCAGATTACACGACTACCAATGTGAAGATATTTCCTCATTTATAAACATTACTGCTATAGGATTGAGGATTATGCTCTTATAGGATTAATGATATATAACGTAGGATTAGCATAGATAAAGGTAGGATATATATATATAGGAAATACTTCACGAAAGATATATGGTAAAAACCTCAACGCCAACCCACCTTACCCACCCACCTGCCCACCCACCCAATCTATGGCCGTAGATTGGGTGTGACCAATGACAGTAGACTTTTAATATGACGTCATAGGCTGTGTCCTGTGATTGGTTGAAAAGTTAAGCTAGTCAGAAGTTATTTTCTATATTGTGGTAGTTAGTCTCAGCGTGTGTGTGTGTGTGTGTGTGTGTGTGTGTGTGTGTGTGTGTGTGTTGCCATGTACAGCAGATGTGTGTGGGTAGATATGGGTGGATGTGAGTGAGTGTGAATGTGGGTGTGGGTAGGTGTGGGTGTGTCTACCAGAGAGGGGGTTTAGTGTGTTCTTGTACATTTGTCACTTGTGAAATAAAACAAATAAAAGTTATAAGAGGTAAAGATTCATATTAAACCTTCATACCTTGCGTAATATCTCTCTCTCTCTCTCTCTCTCTCTCTCTCTCTCTCTACGTCTTTCTCACTCTCTCTTTTTCTTTCATTCTCTTTATCTCTATATCTCTCTCTTTATCTCTATCTATCAAGTTATCTATCTGTGTATTTATCTCTATCTATCTCTCTGCCACACACACACACATTAACATACTTACTGACGAAGAATATACACATACACATACACACACGTACAAACACACAGACATACAAACAAAAACACCTGGACTACAACACCTGGACTACAACACCTGGACTACAACACCTGGACTACAACACCTGGACTACAACACCTGGACTACAACACCTGGACTACAACACCTGGACTACAACACCTGTTCTTAAAATAAAACAAATATTTGAGGATTTTTTTAAGTCATTTATTTTATGAATAAATTCTTACAAACTTAATACATTTGTTGTTGTTGTTGTTGTTGTTGTTGTCGTTGTTGTTGTTGCTGTTGACTTACATGTAATGCACAATACACATCATACACAATGCAACTGGTATACTAATTATATGACCCCAGACCTAACAGACTGAACCTAACAGACCCCCAAGACTAACAGACCCCAGACCTAACAGACCCCCAGACCTAACAGACCCCAGACCTAACAGACCCCAGACCTAACAGACCCCAGACCTAACAGACCCCAGACCTAACAGACCCCAGACCTAACAGACCCCAGACCTAATAGACCCCAGACCTAACAGACCCCAGACCTAATAGACCCCAGACTTAATAGACCCCAGACCTAACAGACCCCAGACCTAACAGACCCCAGACCTAATAGACCCTTAGCTACCTAAACTAATAAAAAATAGGGCCTAATGTAACTATGATGGTCCTTATATCCGACACACACGGTCTTATGATTTGTGTTAATAATAATAATAATAATAATAATAATAATAATAATAATAATAATAATAATAATAATAATAATAATAATAATAATAATAATAATAATAATAATAATAATAATAATAATAATAATAATAATAATACAGACACCAAGAGCAGATATGTGTGTGTGTGTGTGTGTGTGTGTGTGTAATGTAATAATAATAATGGCAATTAACGGTTGTGAAAGGCATGGAGAGGCTTGAAAATATACAGTTACATATTTGGGGAATGGGTTACGAATTACAAATAATATACAAGTGACATAAGTGACACAAATAAGACATATAGTAACTTAGCTGGGGATCAGCTCAAACTACAGTTCATTTCAACATAGTGACAGTGTAGGGAGCAGTGTTTACTGGGAGTGAATACACTGATTTATTACATGTTATTGATAATTTTTGCAATGGTTGGGACTGGGCTGTTCTTATAGCGATCAGTTCGTGCACGTATGGGCTGGATGCGGTTGTGGTGTCGAACAGCAATTCTCGGACAGGGGATCTCAGGTGGTAGTAGGGGCCGGTGTCGGGGATGGTGTAGAAGCTTCTTACCAAATTTGCAGATGAGGCCGTGGTGATGGTCAGTGAGAGTCGAAAGGGTCAGTGTGTTGAGCGCTTCTTGATATGTGGAGTAGGAAGGGGAGAGAGTAATCTTGCATGCCCTCTTTTGCACTTTTTCTAGGTGTTTACGTTGTGTGGCATTTAGGGAGGAAGACCAGGTGGGGGAGGCATAGGTGAGCTTGGGAAGTATGAATGTTGTGTATACACTGAGGAGCTCGTGTGCGGGAACTCCGAGGGACTTGAGTCGGCGGAGGAGGTGGAGACGGAAACTGGAGGATTTGACAACTTCACTGACGTGTGGTTTCCAATTTAGTTTGTTGTCTATGGTGACGCCGAGGAGCTTCGTGGAATCTACAACCTGGAGTGTGTTCGGACCTAGGGTAATGGAAGGAGGTGGGACAATGTCGGAGGAGAGGTTGATGTGCATAACCATGGTCTTGGTATGGTTGATGGTGACATGGTTGTTGGTGGCCCAGTTTTGGAGACTGTTCAATAAATCCTGAAGGGCGGTATAGTTGGGAGTAGAATTGTTGACGCTGATCCCAATGGTGGAGTCGTCGACATATTTCCAGCGAGCAGGGGTTTCTCTTAGGGCATCATTGATGAGCATAAGGAAGCAGAGTGGTCCCATCTTGTGTGTGTGTGTGTGTGTGTGTATGTGTGTGTGTGTGTGTGTGTGCGTGTGTGTGTGTGTGTGTATAACCAATCTTACTTTATACATACCTACACTGTAGACACAATAATACAAACAGAGACTAAAAACATAAAATGTATATGTGTATACAGTATATACTTCTAATGACTATACAGTATATATGTATATGGCAGCCTATACACTACACGTATGGTGGTCGTTACTTATCTCAGTATATTAGTTAGTTAAAAAATAATTATTTGGTATTTTCACAAAAAATATTATAAAATATGTTGTATGACTCAAGCTGCCATATGACTGTCACAGGTTGCCATATAACTGTCATGGGTTGCCATATGACTGTCATTGGTTGCCATATGACTGTCACAGGTTTTCGCATGACTGTCACAGGTTGCCATATGACTGTCACGGGTTGCCATATGACTGTCACAGGTTTTCGCATGACTGTCACAGGTTGCCATATGACTGTCACGGGTTGCCATATGACTGTCACAGGTTGCCATATGACTGTCACATGTTTTCGCATGACTGTCACAGGTTGCCATATGACTGTCACGGGTTGCCATATGACTGTCACAGGTTGCCATATGGTCTAAAAATCACTTGAAACCTTAACAAATGGATAGAAACCATTAGACAGCAACAGAAATCATTAGAGAGCAACAGAAACCATTAGAGAGCAACAGAAACCATTAGACAGCAACAGAAACCATTAGAGAGCAACAGAAATCATTAGAGAGCAACAGAAACCATTAGAGAGCAACAGAAACCATTAGACAGCAACAGAAACCATTAGAGAGCAACAGAAACCATTAGACAGCAACAGAAACCATTAGAGAGCAACAGAAATCATTAGAGAGCAACAGAAACCATTAGAGAGCAACAGAAACCATTAGACAGCAACAGAAATCATTAGAGAGCAACAGAAACCATTAGAGAGCAACAGAAACCATTAGAGAGCAACAGAAACCAATAGGCCACAACAGACAGCAAGAAACCATAACAAACAGGTAAAAACCCACTAGAAACCACGGTAGAGAACCTTAGAAAACGGCATGGAAGCGAATAAAGTTGACGACGCAGAGAAAGACGTAGAGTATAAGACATAGACGGTCAATTACGGCAGCTAGGAAGACCCACTCGTTCCTCACCGTAGCCTCCTGTCGGATACCTCCTACCAGACCTCCTCCCCCTGTACCTCCTAGCTCCAGGTCTTCTGACTTGAGGGCGTGAGGGAGAGAACGCTGGAAGCCATCTACCTGTGAGGGAGAGAGTGGTGGAGGTAGGTGAGTGATGAGAAAGTGAGGGAGGTAGGTGGGTTGTGAGGGAGAGAGTGGTGGAGGTATGTGGGTTGTGAGGGAGTGAGGGAGAGAATAAGGGAGGGAAGTGATTGGTGAAGGAGTGAGTGAGAGGCAGAGATAGAGAGAGTATGAGAGAGTGAGAGGCAGAGATATAGAGAATATGAGAGAGTGAGAGAGAGTGAGTGAGGGAGGGAGGAAAATGGTAATGAAGGTAATGAAACACGTCCTGACTAAAGCAAGAGAGGAAGAAGACATCGAGAGTGGTAAGAACGTTCATGAATGCGGATTATCAACTCGCGAAGGGCAACAAACGGAGGTGTTCGCGGTGCTCTGAATCCACATACGTAAACAAGACAGACAGAGGGGGCAGCAACGGGGGAAAAAGACCATGAATAGTAATAATGATGCATAATTCAACTTGGGAACTGGCTTGTGCCTCAGTGGTTTAGTGAATAATTGGTGGTGAGGTTGTATAAGGGAGGGAGAGAGAGCGCGAAGGGAAAATATTTGCTTGTATTTGAGGAAAGTGTTTATCGAGAGTCTGGCAATGTGGTGTTATTCTCTCTCTCTCTCTCTCTCTCTCTCTCTCTCTCTCTCTCTCTCTCTCTCTCTCTCTCTCTCTCTCTCTCTCTCTCTCTCTCTCTCTAAAACAGGTCACCCATTTATATAAACACCACCAGGTCGATCTATAATTACCAGGTCATCTTCCCTAGACACCCTTAGCTGATGACTTAATTAATTAGACAGGTGTTTATGACAGCAGCAGGTGTACAGTACTCTCACCTTCCTACACCTATCCACTACACCTGCATAATTAATCACACTTTGCTCACTAACATCAACTATACAGTGTGTTTAGGTTAATTAAGTCTCTCACACCTGTCTAATTAGTCTCTCTCTCTCTCTCTCTCTCTCTCTCTCTCTCTCTCTCTCTCTCTCTCTCTCTCTCTCTCTCACTCTCTCACTCACCAGGTTGTTGTAGTCACTAAGGTACAGGATCGACGCTAGACGCACCAGTGGTCGCCTGAGACAGTAGGGCAAACCAGAAGTATGTGGATGATTCACCAGACGGATCACCAAGCAGCTCACCACCAGGGCCACCATCACCAGTACTACCTGTTCACACACCAACTGCACTGTGAGGGAAGAGACGGGTGCTTATTAGACGGGTTTTAAGACAGGTGTAAGGCAAGTCCTGACCAACCACCACTACTACCAGTTTGACAGGTGTAATATGAGACGGACAGATAAACAAACAGTAAGATAAACATATAAACAACATCAAAATATACATAAAAATCTTTGTCTATACACCAGAGAGTATTATAACGTATACAGTATATACCCTACCTATACAGACAGGTGTATGGTTTAAGTATGTGTATAGTTTTGTATTTTTATAACAAATACAAAACCTTTTTTTTACTGTATTACGACCAGACACTTCCTGTACTGTACTCATTTATTGGTAAGTGTACGCAGGGTAGTGTACAAGAACTAGGATACAAGATACAAGTGTACAATTACTAGTGTACTGTGCAAGGAATGAATCTCTCTCTCTCTCTCTCTCTCTCTCTCTCTCTCTCTCTCTCTCTCTCTCTCTCTCTCTCTTTCTCTCTCTCTCTCTCTCGCAGGGAACCTCACCTGTGTTTTGTGTATTGCGAGGCGGCTGCTCTTAACCAACACAACACATGGCTCACGAAACACTAAATTGGATGATGGGTGATTAGGTGAGTGAGTGAGTGAGTGTAGCCTTCAAAAGCCTCTTTTTACTACATCCTCTGTTAGGAACTTTACCCGAGCCTTAACTCAGCCAGTGACTCTCAAAGTGCTTTGAAATCAATGAACAGCCCGTCAGGCTTTATGTCTAAAGTTGCATGTGATATTAAAAGGATTGTGATAACTGCCAATGAGAACAACTTTCGTATCGAATTTGTGTGAATTCCGTCCCATGTTGGAATCAGGTATCATGACCGTGCTGATAGACTGGCCAATGAGGCATGTAAGAAAGAAAATGTTGACCGTGACCTTGGCCTGTCCAATGCTGTAATTAAAATCATTCAAGTCAGAATCATGAACTCTGATCTAGAAGAAGTGAGAAATGCAGAGAGACCTGACAGTTGTAGCATTAGTAAATATGACAAATTTTGTGACAAGAGGTACCGGGATGGCCAGCATAAGGACAGAACCAGACAATGTGATGTAGTCGTGGCCAGAATTAGGCTAGGATACAGACACATCTGGCAAGTTAGTAACGCTGTACCCATACCGGAACACTCAGCATGTAAACTTTGTGATAAACATTTAAAGCATACACTTGAACACTGTGACACTGTCAAAAGCTTCAGGCCACCTGACTTATTGTATCTTGAACAATGTAATTACTTCATTGAATCAGGTGTGTGAGGACATTCTTGCTGTTTATCCCAAATTTGCTAGCCCACTGATTAGTCTTCAGTTAGAATATGACTCCAATGTATGTGAACCACTGACTTATATATATACTGCTAATGAATATGATGTATTTCCTTCTTTGTGTACGAACCTCTGTCCTGCATGGCAGTGAACAGTGGCATTACCCACATGAATCTGACCTATATATAGTGTCAATGAATATGATGCATTCATTGTGTACGAACCTCTGTCCTGCGTGGCAGTTAACAGTGACATTATCCATATGAATCTGACCTCTATACATTTATAGCTGTTAATGAATATGATGTATTTCTTTGTGTGTGAACCTCTGTCCTGCATGGCAGTGAACAGTGGCATTACCCTCATGAATCTGACCTATATATAGTGTCAATGAATATGATGCATTCATTGTGTACGAACCTCTGTCCTGCATGGCAGTGAACAGTGGCATTACCCTCATGAATCTGACCTATATATAGTGTCAATGAATATGATGTATTTCTTTGTGTGTGAACCTCTGTCCTGCATGGCAGTGAGAAGTGATACCACCCTCAGTGTCAAGACCTGACTGAATTACTCACAATAGGCAAACTGTACTACAAGCTTTGTCAATAAATTTGTTAAACTAAAAAAAAACAGCCAGGAGGAGACTTACGTATTCCCCAAGTTGTTAAGGTAAACGAGGAGAGAGAGAGAGAGAGAAAATGAATGATATTAAGACGAATAGAAAGAAAAAGACAGATATAAAGGCAGAGATAAGACAGATAAGAGATACACATACGAAAGAAAGAGAGAGGGTGACTCATTATCAAGACCACCCCCCTTACTCCTGTTACACTCGAGGACAAGAACGAACTAACCCACACGTAATCTCTTTGACAAAAATGACCCTTATTCTCCTTAGACCAGATGCATCATATTGCCTTGCCTCCTGCAACATAGCTTAAGCCTACACAACACCACCGCCTCAATGTAAACACACCTTGCAATATTTACGTCTTTTTTGCCCCACTTGGCAACTGCGTATTCGTTCTGTTGCCATACCGTCTTTTTCCCACTAATTTATTGCGTCCTGAAGCACTATGAACGTGATATTATCTTCTGCGTTTCTCCTTTTAGTGTGAGTGGGATGTGAGAGGGGCTGAGTGGGATGTGAGGGGCTGAGTGGGATGTGAGAGGGGCTGATGTGAGAGGGGCTGAGTGGGATGTGAGGGGGGCTGAGTGAGATGTGAGAGGGGCTGAGTGGGATGTGCTAGAGGATGAGTGGGATGTGCGAGGGACTTTGTGTGAGGTGTGAGAGGGTCGTACAGTACCTAAGAGTGGAGTGTAACATAAGAACATAAGAAAATAAGGAGCCTGGCGGTTGGCCTGTGCACGGCAAACTTGTTTATGTCACTGCTGATCCCAGTATCTAGATCGTTTATATAGATTATGAACAAGAGTGGGCCTAGTACTGACCCCTGGGGAACTCCACTAGTTACACAGCCCCACTCAGATTTAAGACCATCTTCGCTGACCCTCTGCGTTCTATCGGTGAGCCATGATTTTATCCAGTTTAAAACTTTCCCCTCGATACCATGAGCCTTAACTTTCCTCAGAAGCCTCTGATGCGGTACTCTGTCAAACACTTTGCTAAAGTCTAAGTAAATAACATCGTAATTTTCGTCATTATCTACTACCTCATAGACTTTCCTAAAAATCGGCAGATTTGTTAGAGAGAGATTTTCCTTGTAAATCCATGTTGAGAGTCATAGATTAATTTGTTTTTTTTTTCTAAATGCGCTCGGATGCTATTTGCTATAATTGATTCAAGAAATTTCCCCACTACTGACGTCAAACTAATCGGCCGGTAATTTGACGCTGATGCTCTGTCTCCCTTTTTGAATGTGGGTACAACATTTGTCTGTCTCCACAAGTCTGGCACAACTCCCGTGTCTAATGATTTTGTAAATAAATTAACGAGGGGTCCGCTAATCTATTCCTGACACTCTTTCAAAACTCGAGGGAAAATTTCACCCGTCCCTGGGGATTTTGTCTTCTTTAATTTATTTATCTTCTTAGAGGGACTTACCTATGAGTGGGGTATGAGAGGGACTTACCTATGAGTGGGGTATGAGAGGGACTTACCTATGAGTGGGGTATGAGAGGGACTTATCTTTGAGTGGGGTATGAGAGGGACTTACCTATGAGTGGGGTATGAGAGGGACTTACCTATGAGTGGGGTGTGAGTAGGCGTGAGAGACGACGTTGGACGTGTAGGCGATGAAGAGCAAGTCCAGAATGAGACACAATCCACCGAAGACCAACTTCTCCCCAGCTCCCGGCGGCAGTAGGAACAACACCACCGTCAGGATACACATACCTGCGGCAGGAGAGTGGGTCAGGACATCTACACCTTCGGCAGGTAAGTGGGTCAGTATAATAAGACCCTGGAACCTATGTATACAACTACACACCTGTAACCACACCTACAGCTCACCTGTAGCCACACCTACAACACACCTGCCACAGGGATTTTGATGATCCAGGCAAAGGCCGGGGCGTCTCGGACCAGGATGAGGGTCACCCACAGGGACACGTAGGGCTCAGGGCAACATTCGTAAGAGTTCTGGCGTCTGGTGATGTTCCCTGCCTCCACCTTCCATTCTGACCTACTAAGGGGGCCGTCGGGGCCATCTACCTCGGGCACGTCTACCTATAGGAGGAGTGAGACGTGTGTATAACATCCTGAAGGTGGTCTAATCTATCACTAATTCACCTGTATTGAGGAGATAGTTTACAAGGTAGATTAATTCACCTGAAGTAGTACCTGTAGGTGGTCTACACACATAAACTCACCTAAACTAAGAAGAAGACTTACAGATACATAACTTCTTCACCTACTTTGACTTCCTTGGCGACGAGTCTGAGGTCCAGGGTGTGGCCGTGGTGGACCCAGGAGCCGAGGACGATGGAGCAGTTGTGTTTGTCGTGAGGCCAGTAGGTGAGGTCGGTCACGCAGGAGGCTCGGAGTTTGGCTGGCGGGGCGTAGAGCACACGGCCGTCGGGGTACACCAGCGTCAGGGTGCTGTCTGATTCTTGTTTTCTTCTGCCGAGGCGCTGAAACATGTCCACAACAATAACAACACAACAAACAAACAACAACACAACAACACAACAACACAACAATTATAACTCATGATATTATTAACTTCAAGTCTCCTGCCTCTCTCCTTCCCTACACCTTCCTTCCTCTCTCACCCTTTCCTCCTCTCCCCTCCCTTTTCCTTCCCCTTATCCCTCCTTCTCTCACACTTCTCTTATGTCCTCCTTCCTCCTCCCTCCATCCCTCATCCTCCCCACCCCTCGCCCCTTCCCTCAGCCCCGCCTCAGCCCCGCCTCACCTGTTGTAGAGTCTGAGGTCCGGCATCCAGATCTCCTTAGGTGACATGGCCAGCTTCTCTATCCCAGCTTGGGGTACGAACTCAAGCCTCGAGTCTGTCCACTCCTGAAGGGGAGGCAGAAGGAGTTTAAGAAAGAAAAGAAAAGAAAGAAAGAAAGAAAGAAAGAAAGAGGTAGATCAATGTTAGCGAGTGTGTACATAGGTGGAAATTTATATGACAGGGGTTTAGTGTATACAGTGACCACACACACACACACACACACACACACACACACACACTATAGGAAGTGTAAGGGTAGTACTCACATATATCACCCAGGCGTCCACATCCAGTATTTGTTTCTCCTCGTCCTGGGAATAAAAATAAATAAAACAATAAGGATCATGTGAAGATTAGACACCCCTGCTTATTTCACCTGATGACTTAACTTATATGGTAACCTAACCTAACCTGACCTAACAACGCCTAACCTAACCTGACCCAAACCTAACCTGCCTAACCTAACCTAACCTAACCTAACCTAACCTAACCTAACCAAACCTAACCTGACCTAACCTGGCCTGAACTAATCTTGCCTACCCTAATCTAACCTAATCTGGGACTAACGTAACCTAACTTAACTTAATCTAACATAACATAACTTAACCTAACCTACCTTAAACTAACACAACACATCTACGTTACTCACAACACACCTACGTTACTCACAACACACCTACGTTACTCACAACACACCTACGTTACTCACAACACACCTACGTTACTCACAACACACCTACGTTACTCACAACACACATCTACGTTACTCACAACACATCTACGTTACTCAAACACACCTACGTTACTCACAACACACCTACGTTACTCACAACACCTACGTTACTCCACACCTACGTTACTCAGCACACCTACGTTACTCACAACACACCTACGTTACTCACAAGTTACTCACAACACCTACGTTACTCACAACACACCTACGTTACTCAACACACCTACGTTACTCACAACACACCTACGTTACTCACAACACACCTACGTTACTCACAAGTTACTCACAAGTTACTCACAATATCTATGTGCTTGAGGGTGAACCGTCGTAGCCTGAGCAGTGTAGTCCTGGCAGGTAAGGTAGTCAGTCGTAGTTCTGTAGCAAGTGGGCCCTTAACTCCTGCTCCCGGGGCCTGTAGTCCTCGTAGCCTTCACCTGGGGCGGAGGGGCTACTTTATATCATATTGATCTATCTATCTATCTATCTATCTATCTATCTACAGGGTCTCTATCTGTCTTTCAATCTATCTATTTATCGATCTATCCGTCTGTTAGGTAGAATGTATGTATGTATGTATGTATGTATGTATGTATGTATGTGTTTAATCTCTCTTTATGTGTGTGTGTTTGTGTGTGCGTTTTTAGTGGTTTCTTCCTGAATGGTAGTGTGGCTCTCTCTCTCTCTCTCTCTCTCTCTCTCTCTCTCTCTCCCTCTCTCTCCCTCGCTCCCCCACTCTCTCCCACTCTCAACACTCTCTCCAACACTCTCTACATCGCCGAGGAGAAGATTGAATTTTTTCGCAATAAATTGAATTGCCCAGGCTTTATACCTCACACTGCCTGAACAGTGAGAGGGAGGAGAGAGGGAGAGAGAGGAGGAGGAGGGAGAGAGGGAGGGAGGGAGAGAGGAGGAGGAGAGAGAGAGGAGGAGAGAGAGGAGGAGGAGAGGAAGAGAGGGAGGGAGGGGAGGGAGGAGGAGGGAGAGAGGGAGAGGAAGAGAGGGAGGGAGGGAGAGAGAGAGGGAGGGAGAGGAAGAGAGGGAGGAGGGAGGAGGGAGGAGGAAGAGCGGGAGGAGGGAGGAGGGAGGGAGGGGAGGAGAGAGAGGAGAGGAGGGGAGGGAGAGGGG